TCTGTATCTATTACTATATTTAATAGTGTAGGAGTTTTAATAGATAGTCATGCCATATATTTACCAGAAAATAAGGAATTAAATTACAATGGTATTATACAAGTATTTATTGGTGTTACAAATAATAATAAATTAGCAGTTTCAATGATGCATAATGGAAAAACTCTACAACTCTGTTCTATTCCATTATTAGGTATTTCATTAACATCATTCCGTGTAGTTAGTGGATATATTGAGGGTATTACATCGAATTTTATTTATTCAAGTGATGGTTATCCAGCAGAAGGATACCCAGAACTTGTCAGTCAATCATCTCCTAATTCTGAAAGTTGTTATATATCTGTAAATGGTAAATGTTCTTCATATCAAATTGTAGGTATAGATACTAATGGTTTAAGTAGTGGTATTTATAGTCTTATAGAGGCTACATATATTACATTACCATTAACTATTCAATTTTTAGAAACATCTTCAGGTAAAGAAGCTGTTAATATATATATAAGTACAAATGGTATAATTAAATTATCTAATATGTTGCAAAATGTATCAGTAAGTGGTATTTTGTCATCAACATGTATTTCTAATATCATGTTCAATGGCTTATATATGGTATTATCAGTAGATAATGATAATGTATATTTAATATTATGCTCAAGATTAGTAGCAACAATACCTAATAGTGGTTTAGATGTATCATTAACTGTAATATTTGATGAAAATATTAGTGGTATAACTAATGTAATCTCAGGATTCCCAGCATTTTCATTAGCTTCTGAGGAATCATTACAAATTATAAATACAAATGATAATTATCTTACCGAATTTAATTTAACTAGTTTAGAATTTTCATCTCCTTGTAGCATGAATGGTTTATGTAGTGGTAGTACATGTTCTGGTAGTGCAGCAACAGATATATGTAATAAAGAATTATCTGATGGATTTGCAGTCTCAATTTCTGGAATTGTTCAGCCTATTCTTTCTTATCCCGAGCAAACTATAGGTAATTCATTCCTATACTCTGATACTATTCAAATATTTAGTTTTATACAAGATAGTGGACTTGAAATATTTCAATTAGTTATTACATATAATCAAATTGCACTAATTGATGTTAATGCTGGTGTAGGTGTTGGTGGTTCATTACCACTTGGTATGATATTAAATTTAGGATCTAAATATCGCATATGGATTGGATTTTATAATTCTAAAATTATTCCAATGGTTGAATTCCCTTATGGTTCAAATAAGAAGTATGTTATACATTCATTAACAAGTACTTTTGCTGATTGGCCACAGAGTATATCTCAAACATCTAATAACATAAAACCAATTTCAAAGATTATCCCTATTCTATTTGTTCAGAATCCATATACATATTCTATTGTATATTCAGATTCACTTTGGTATCCTTGGACTGGTGTGTATATTGGACAAAATGAAGGTTCTGATAGTTGTACTTTAACAATGTTTGGATCATGTATTTCATCAACTATATATATGCCTGCAAATATAGATACAGTATCAGATATTTATCTTGATATATATCTTCATAATTGGTCTAATAATGATATTGCAGTATATTTAAGGAATTCAGCTGAAGAATCTATAGTTACATTATCAATGTCATATACATCAATATTGTATGAGGGTAATAGAAGCTTTAATATGAGTAATTTTGCAGGAGATAAAATAAGTTTCACCCTATATAATCAAAATAGTCGAGTAATTAATATAAAATTAAATTACACAGCTGCTATAAGTATCTACATAAATGGACAAGTTCAAAGTACAATTTCTACTCGTGGTAGGAAATTTAATCATATTACAACATCTAATATGCCACCAATGAATGTTAGATTAGTAAGATCATCATTTAGTCATCAACCATATTGGCAAGCTCTTAAATATGCAAATAAAATAGCTAGATCGGAAATAGCAGCAGGTGTTAGTGGTTGTAGTCAAAATTCCCCATCTTATGATTGGTATTCAGTAGCAAATGAAATAATTCCAGGATCTGAAATACAATATTTATGTATGCCTAATCCAGATAAATATACCCTTACATTTAAGTCAATGATTCCAGATTATGTTAATCAACAACTTGGGCAAGCCTTTAGGAATTTCCCTGGATTTTTACAAGCAATAGTTCTTTTAAATTATGATAAAGTTGCTTATACAGTTATTATTGCTAGAAATTATATTTCATTTTATAGTTCTGACTATAATGGTACAGCTTCTGATTATAGAAATTGTGCTGCTAAATTAATAACAGATAAATTAGAATTTGGAGATGAATATCAAATATTTATTACTGTTAATGGTAATAATATTTATACATATCAAAAAGATTTAAATACAGGTGAAATTGGTTTAATATGTGGTATTCCATTTACATTATCATTTAATAGTGCTAAATATTTAGATCAAACTAATGGGAATTATCCTGTGAGTCTTGGTGAATTCTTTGATTATGTTCCAGATAGCACAATTACTTCTAATAATGCTAATCAGTTATATCCATTGGGATTTGTAGAAGATAAATCAATTATATTGTCATCTGGTTCACCTTTTTCTCTTGGTAATAGTATGAGTTTAAGTGTTCAATGTAACCATGAAATTTCTTTTGGTGGAATGAGTGGTGAACCTCAAATTTATATTAGTATAAAAGATAATAAAGTTGAAATTTCTAATTTAATAGAACAAGTAACATCTATTGGTAAAATTCCAGACGAATGTAAATGTTTAATAAACTCAGATAAAATTATTCTTTCTATTGTAAGTCTTGAAGATGGATATACTTTAGTAGTTTGTGGTAATATAATTGCATCTGTTGATTCGAATGGTACATCTATTTATCAGATAGCTAGTGAAGAAGTTTTAACTGTCCATTTACGTCCTGATATTCGTCTTGCAGTTGCAACTAAATCTAATATAAAAAATATTCAAAATATATCAAGTGATTCCGATGAAACTTCCAGAAATAATGATAATGATGATAATGATATTGGTACTATAAAGTCAATACCAACAGAATTACCAAATAAATTTAAAATTATTACAACACTATATGTTAAACCAAGTTACAAATAAACTAGTGTTGGTAATAGTAATAAAGAATGTGTATTAAGGATAATAAAGTGGGAGTAGAAATCCCACTTTACATATTGTTCTATCAGTTTATTGATTTGTATTGCTTTTTTGTCAGTTAATTCTAGTTTAGCCAATTACTTAATATTACTATTGAATTTCTGACTTACTTTTCTCTATATAATTATAATAGTAATAATACTCAGTTAAATTCCCTATCAAATAACAAAATATATCTTTATATATTTAATAAGCCAATATCTAGTGTTGGTTTGAAACTAAATTCCATAGTTATTACTAATACTGATTAGTAATCAGTGAATAATATATAGATTTTACTATCTAGTTATAGTTATAACAAAATCAACTTATATTAATTTATATTAGTATAAATATTGAGAATTAATACCGCTGCAAATTCCTTTAAGATTTTATTCTTTTTTTTAGCTTTATATTATTTTCATTTAAAATAAGTATGGCACTTATCATTCGAATGTAATTACTCAATTTTTAAAGTATTTAGAGATAATCTAAAATATTACACTTGTTGATACCTTATAATGGGAATAATATACTAGCCTATTTTCATTTGTGTTCATCTACTTTAGTATTAATTTAATATTCTAGAGGTGAACTAATTTCTTAATGGGAATTTTTAATGAAATCAAATATACTTTAATTAAGCATTTAATATATCTATCTTTCAATTAAACTGATGAAAAATTGACTAAAGTTACTTTTCCATTCCAATTAAACCATAGTACACTTCAAATTTCAATGGAGATATCTACAAATCTTAATATTTTAGTGGAATAATATTATAATATAATTATTTAATATTTAGGGAATTATATTCCAGTGTATATGCAAATGTGCAGAAATAAGTTCATCTACTTGAAATCCAATGCATATTCCATATTTTATATTCCCAGAATATTTAATTATTTATGTTACTTTTGATAATTTAATGTCAAATTACTAGATATATGCAAGCTATTTAGCCTAGAATACTGTAATAAAAGTACATTTATTCTTCCAAATAGATATCCCTAATTTACAAACTTAAAAATACATTGTTACGCTCCTCTATTTCTACTAGTATCTAAAGCGTTGTAAGAAATACTAATAAGTAAAGGAATTATTGATTTGGAAATTCTTAGCACTGGGATATTTAGAGAAATACTATTTTGAGTTTGTATTAAATTAAAAAATAATATATATGTTTTATCTTAGTTAGGTCCTTAAATGCTGAAAACTCTTGAGATGTGTGTATTAATTTCTATTTCTATTTCTAAGTTACTGAGAAATGTTATACCTAGAAGTATGTGGAGATTACAACATACAAGCGTGTCATCTTCCAGCCTAATACTAAAAAGATTAATTTATTCATATTTAATATTAATATTATTTAGTGTTTACTTCTAATTTGAAGTTTCCTAATTACTATCTTTTTTTCATAGTAGGGTAATACTGAGATCAAGGAATACACTGTACTGAGAGCTCAACATTTTAAGAAGATTAATATTTGTAATGAAATTCAAATTAGTGTGAGATAATAAATTCTAATAAACATTCTCTATTAAGATTTCCAATTCAGTACTAGTATAAATGAGGGGATAACACTAATAAATATTTAAAAGTACCTTAGTTAAGGAGCAGTTTTCACCATATAAGAAGTTAATTGGAAAGTATGCAATAAAAAAACTGGATTACTAATCATTCATAACTAATTAAACAATTTCTCAAACCCTTTTGTTAACTTCTATTACCTTTTATTTGAAAGTATTGGCTTGATTATTAACATAGTCAAAAGTGTTATAAATTTGAGAGCACCTGATATAAATAATCTAATAGGTTTTATATCTTATTTATGTTATTAAAAAAACCGAAGTACTCAATTTTAATATTGAAAATTACATTGTACCTAATGCTGGCGCACCAAATCTGTTACAGCGCCGAAGTGTAGCTTCAGTTAGTTTAACTCTGCTTAGATGAGTAGATAATTCAGTTCTGTCGGTGATATCAGGATCTCTACAGCTGTAGAAGAAATTTTGTAGCACATCCAACTCTGTACATTTAATAAAAAGGTTATATACTGTTTTGTACATAAAATTCTCAGTATATTTAGATTTAATCTTATATTTCATATCAACAAGCTTCACAAAGGTGTTATTTTCTAGCATAACAACTTTATTTGCATGATAAGCAGAGTGATTACTGATATAATTAATAATCAAAAGGATAGATATTGCAATCTTTTCTGCTGGACAGTTGAGAAGGTTCAAGATAACTTTGATTCCATCTGAATATATGAAGATCAAAGAAAATCTACTAGAACTCTTAACAAGCTTTAAGAGAGCTAATAATATTGGGAATATTGCAGCATTTACTGATACACTGAGCTGAGACTTTTTTAAAATATCTAGGAAAACTCCGATAATCCCCATATAAACTAAACTGCGATATATCTTTTTGTTTGATGAGTTCGAAATAACAAAGTAACAAAGAAGCTTGATAGAACTATACTTTATTAGTAAGCACTGATCAAAAGATAGTATATATAACTTTGCTATAAAATCAATCGGCTTTATAAATTTCAATAGATTTTGATGCTCCTGGCTCGACTCGAGTATTTTGACTAAAGAAGCAATGTAGCGAATCGACCATAATCTAAGAGAAGTATCCTTATGGAGTAATTGGTTATCTATATTCACTTTTAATTTAATCCATGATATAGCAGCAACTATTGGAGATAATCTAACTAGCCTTACAACAACACGAATTAAAAATTTTGTTAGCAGCAAGTTGTGTTCACTTATCTGATAACAATCCAAAAGGAGATCAAGGAATCCACTCTTTATTGCAACCTTACCAAACATGGGTTGTTCTTTCTCTATATAGTAGAAAAGTAGTAAACAAAGTAACTGTTCAATATTACTTGTTGCATTATCATGTTTTTGAAGTTCAACAATTTTCATAATCAATATGAGGAACCTTTGATTTGATAATGCCTACATATTTTTAAGATCTGAAATATTTTCCTAAATTCCATTTAAAAAACTATAGTGAAACTTACCTGAATTGTATTTGTGGGACTATACTTTATATATAGTATTAACACATACAAACAAGTTACCCTCTGCTCTTTCTAAAATTTTGGAAAACATAGAATTATAGTTAGAGGAGTTAGGGATAACTTAAAAAAGGATAAACCTTTTTTTTTTAAAAAAAAAAAAAATATAACTTTTAACTTGATTAAGTTCTTGACTTACATTGTGTACTGATGCGATGGATGAGATATTTCCTATATTATTTTGAATCAGTTCAACAATATCTGGGCAAACTACTTGTGGCTTTGGTAGTTTATCATATAGGCCACATCTAAAAAAGTAGGAAATATAGCGCACTTCCGTAATATGCATATTTAATTATTATAGATATTTTAGTTTCACTCAACTAAAGTTATCAACAAAACTATAAGGAATGGGTTTACGAGTAGCTTACAAATTTGTGTGGTAATAAAAGAAAATAAATAAGAATGGATAGATTTATATTGATAAAAATTCACTTTTACAACATTTTATTCATAAATAAATTATTATATTTTGTCTATTAGTTAGGTATGTATCTCCACATATTGATAGATGCTCCATTGAAATCAATTATCCCGTATTATAGTGTGCATGCGCACATTAAATCACTGAGAGTATTAAGTTTTTTCTGAGATTCAAATATCAGTAGCTATTTTGAGGCACTCAAATGTTTCTTCTTGATGAATGAAACTGAATCATTGAACAACAAAAAGCTTCTGCCACATAATTCTTTGGGATACACTTTTATTCCAATGAAAGAAAAAAACGGAAACTCAAATTTTGAGTCTGGTACAACACTATATACAGATTCATTTAAGAACAATTCAAAAAATCCATTAGATATACCAATGTCAAATACAGGATCTGTACAATTAAATAAATCAGCATCAATTGAATACCCTCTGCAATCCAGTATCTCTTCAAGTCCAATGGTCCTGTCATCATCTTCCCCTGAAAATTTTCTGCTAAAAACAACAACAAATTCTAATATTCCAGAAGATCTACGTCATCAGTTTGAATTAGCATTAAAAAAGGCTAGGTCATATATAGAGAAAGAATATATAGATAGAATACGTCAGGTAGATACTGAAAATGCAATCAAATTGCAGAAAGAATTAAACAAAATCCTTCAAGCTGAGAGAGAAGCTTTAGACAAAGAAAAAAGAGTATATGAACAAAGGCTACGAGAACAACTAGAGGAAGAAATGAAAGTTACCATAGAGAGAGCTACAGTAGAATACAAGAGGAAAACGGATGTATCTTTAGCAGAAATGAGAAAGGATATGGAGAACCAATATAAATCTCGTCAAAAGGATATTGATGAGGAACTATGTCGGAGAAAGTTAGCTTTAGAGAAAGAGTATAAAGAAAGAATTGAACTTATTGAAAATCAGTATGAAGAAAAGGTTCAATCACGTATTGAGATTGAGAAGGCAAAGTACAGTTCGCAGCAACAGAGCCAATACATTGATAAAGAAAAGGAGTACTTGGAAAGCAAGTTAACTTTGTCGAATTTACAAGAACAATTATCACTATATAAACGACAAAAAGATGAATTGGAATCTATGAGCTCAGCTACAATTAGTAGTCTTCAGAACTACTTGAAAGAGTTAAAGTCAAATCAAGATGTATACAAGGATCAGATCTCGATAATGGAAAAAACAATTTTTGCTTTAAACAAGAAGGAAAATGAAACTTTAGAGATGGTTGAAAAAGTAAACAACAAGATGAAAACAATGATTGAATTTAAAGAAGCAAAAAAAATAGCATACTCAGCTTTATTAAAAGGGAGAGCAATTCAGATGTTAGATGAATTTACTAAAAGATATTTTAAAGTTAAATATCTCAAATATGGATTTGATACGTTCAGGAAGCTACTATCATCCGACTTACATTCATGTGAGAGTAACAAGAAAGTAAGTCAAGATAGTAGCAAGCTACTTTATACTTTGAGGAAGGAACAGCTCATGCTATTAGCAGAAAATGAAAGGTTAACTGAATTAGTAGACAATTTAAAAAAAGAACATATAAATGAATTAAAAAAAACTCAAGAGGCCTTTATGATGTACAGAAGAAATCTAGATCAGAGCACTAATAAGAGTCAAAGTGTAGTAGAATATGAGCTTAGGATGACCTTCTTTGCATATATAGTGAGTTGCAAAAGAAAGTTCATCATTGCATTTGCATTTCGGGATTTGCTAGTATATACAGTCCAAAGTACATTGAAGATGAATCATAAAGAACTATCTGTTAAGAATAATGTCATAAATCGAATGCATGAAATTAACAACAAAGAAACAACTATAGATATCCATATAAAAGGAGACATTCTATCAATATTATTGCATTCAATATATAATCATATTAAACTTCGACTGTTGTCATACTCATGGAGACATATGGCCCTAAGGTCCAAAAGTCCAATGCTTCAGGCACCTCCAGTAGTTAAGACAGACTATGTGAATAATACAGGACCAATAGACTCTTTATATATGAGAGATTTCATTAATAGTATGGGAAATAATAGTGTTATCAATTTTGCACATCAACCAAGTTACTATGCAAAGCTTCCATCTGTCAATAATATACAAAGCAGAGCAGTTTTTGTGCCTCTTAGAAGAGACAATCCTATTTCTTTTGGCTCATATTTTCAGTACAGTAATCAATTATCGAATGACTTTTGTGTAGTTGGGAAGCCACTTGGTAGCTTAACAAATCAATCTTTACTTTAAGTAATAACCAAAAAACAGAATACAAAAAATAAGATATAATTGCTAAAAAGATATTTCTCAAGCTAGCTACTAGAACAGGTTGAAGGGCAAACAGAATTTATTGTAAAATCAGTTGAGCTAATCAAGTGAAAGCCAGTACTTTTCTTTAGTTTATTTGGATCGCTAAAATCACTTCTATCAAACCTCTTAGAATTAGGCAACTTCCTTGCTATTTCTTCAAAAATTTCTTGAACATTATGTCCAGTTTTAGCAGATGTTTCAAGATATAAAATATCATTCTCTTTTGCATAACATCTCGCAATTTCGCTGCTAACAGTTCTATTTCCTTCAAGATCACATTTATTTCCAACAAGAGCTATGACAATATCATTATTATTAATACTTTTTAACTCACTAATCCAAGACTTAGCACCATCAAAAGAGTCAGAATTTGTAATATCATATACGACTATTGCAGCTGCAGCACCTCTGTAATACATTGGGGCTAAACTTCTATATCTCTCTTGGCCTGCAGTATCCCAAATTTCAAATTTTACTATGTAGTCATCATCAATATTCACAGATTGGGTCATGAAAGCTGCTCCTATTGTCGGTTCCTGGTATTCACTAAATTCGTCCTTAGCAAACCTAACAACTAGGCATGATTTACCTACTGATGCATCACCCAATAATACTAGCTTTAAGTGATATGTCTTTGGAGTCTTGATAGTTGTTTGAGACATTAATTACAACAGAAATATAATGATCTACTACAATAGTTTACCCAATTATATTATTCAGTCTTCATCACGATATATAAGTCGTGACACTGTCCTAGCAACAATCTGCCTAATTGAAGGAAACCCCCATTAAGATTAGTACTCTTATAAAACCGGGTGCGGCTTAAGTAAGTTTGTTGTGTCACCTGTTAAAATTATTTATTTTATTGCCAAGTTATCATTATTTGATCTTTAATAACTAAGTATGAATCTATTTAATTCGTATTAACTTTAACATAATTTCGTCTCATTTGAGTACCGTATAACCTATTCATTATATGTAACTCAAAAGTACATTCTTAGCAATGTTAAAGAGAAGATGATATTGAATGGTGGTGTATAAAGATAAATTGTGCCGTTAATATCTTAATTTCATTACAGAATCTAGTTGCAGACTTGAAAAGTGCTATTGAAAAACTAATAAATTCTCTAAAGTTAAATATTCAAAGGCCTGAAGTTGGGGAATTGTTCCTAGCTTGCAGAAATCTGCCTCACAAAGAATTCTCTCATCTACAAACAGTAATAAAATATCATAAAATAAAGTGTTTAGCAATGAATTTGTATAGCTTTTAGCTCTACTTACCCAAGTATATATTTTAGGGATAAATAAAGGAATATGTAAAGAGTATGTTCTTAAAAATAAATTGAAGTACCCATCAATCTGTCTAAAAGCAAGTTGCAAGTAAGGATCAAACATGTATTTTGTTCTAATAATATTCCAATGTAAAAATGGATATATCAAACTTATTTTCCTAGTAATTGCAGTGTAAATAATATATAGCCCAAGACCAAAAATCTCGAAGTAAGCACGCTTTTGTAAGATAGCACTTCTATTATCTTTAATGATTTTAGTGGCAATATGAAGTTTCTTGTAATTTAAGATTTGAGAAAGATCTACCAAAATAAATAAAGATGTTATCATAGGGCTTATGAAGACAAGTGGGAATACTGAAGTAATACCGAACAATGCAATGAGGATTAAAAATGACTGAAATCCATCTTCATAAAGAATTTTACCCCAAAACTCAAAACTTGTAAATTTTATAGGTTTATCTAATTTCTCATATAAATAAGAACTTAATCCAAACAAGTATAGCAGTGTGGCTAATTTCGAAACATTTGAAATAACATTATTTTGCTTAATAAATGGTAAAACCGTTTGTATTATTAAAAATGAAGTTAAAAGTAATGCCATTAGTAAGGAATATATTATAAATTGGTGTAGCAGAGTTGCTTTTAAATTTGAGTAGTAGATGTTGGAATGATAAACTTTCTCCTCACCATTACAGTTTGCAGTTGGAGGATTCCCATTAGATTGACTAGGATATATCTTTGGATATAGCTCCAGTTCAGCATCTATATTCTTCTTAAACCATTTTCTTTTGTAGATATTCAATTGTGCTACTGTTGGTGTTGGATATAAATTATCATAGTATTGATGCCACAATGCATTTGAAGACCAGTCAAACTCCAGAAATTTCCTTTCAGACTCAGATAGAGACATTTTGAATAGCTACTGTAACTAATTTAAAGAGTATCGATAAACTTCTATTGGGGTAATAACTGATATTTAGTAAGGACATTTGCCGCAACAATAATACACTAATGCTAGTTATACAGCGCTTAATCCTTGAGACGTTTTTATTTCTTGTGTGTTTGCACTTACATTGCAATATCGAACTAAAGATAACGATATAACTCATAATATTAAAAAATATATAGATTTAAAATGGCTAATGGTTACAAAGTTAAGCATACGCCACTTGATATACTTGTTCTAAACAATACTTTAACATTATTATCAATTATTAGTAAATTAATATCATCCACATTTGGAAGTAATAACACAATTTGCTTACTATTATTAATAATAAAGCTAGTAATAATTTTTCAAGAGATCAGAGGAAGGATTAATACTCGAATATAAAATAAGATCCCAATAAGAAATTTAAAAGAAGCCTATTTCACTAAAGCTTATATATACTTAAAGTATATCTTTATCTGTTATAGAATAAGTCATTCTTAAACTTCAGTTTAAAATAAAAGATAAGTATAAATCTGAATTCTACTATAAATCAATATTACACTATATATGATTTCTTTTGAGTTAATTATTACCATATACTACAATTGACCAAGATAAAAGCCTGCAAATGCATCTTTTAAGACAAGTACTCAGTGTTTAAATAATGTGAAATATTAATTTCTAAACACCAAGGAAAGTAGGAATTTAGGGGCTATTTCATTTTTAGAAGCAAGTTTAAGAAAGCTACATAACTAAACAAATTCTTAAATATGTTTTATTAATAAGATTAACAATTTTGGCACTGAAAGTTATTTGATTTGTATGTAGTATTGCGGCATTTCCTGATAACTGTTAAATCCTAGTTCAGTTCCTGGTTCGGTAGGTATAATCTGAGTCACACTAATTTGACAAAGTTAAACAAAACAAATTTTCCTAACAATCATAGGGATCAAAATATAGCTAGTTGTTAAAAATCAATCAGTTAGTAATGGAATCAAGATAATCATAAGAGCTTCTCTAGTTCTAATCTAACTTCACAGATACATGATACAATAGCGGAAAATTGAACAGTCTCACTTGCACCACATGACAATCTATATTCTATATCAGCTAATCTCTTCATTATTAGTGGTATGACTGAATCTGGCCAGTTTATTTTTAACAACCTTCGATAGAGCAAATTTACAAAGTCTTGTGTAGCATAGCCGTACTCTCTGTAATAGTTCATAAGTGCGTTGGTACCTTCTGAAAATGTTTTGTTAGTTAAAATATTCATCAAAAAATCTATTTCTTTACTTGTTGGAATACCCAACGTCCTATGAACCATTTGTTCGTTTATATATGTATTTGTATTTTCATTCATGATAGTAAAGTCACATGAGCTCATGTACTCATGAACATTGCCATAATTATCCATATGACAAGATTGAAGAATATTCAGTACCTTCCTCATATCTCCTCTTGCTGCTTCAATAAGAGCAGTAATTCCATCCTTTGAAGTGTAGATCCCTTCTGCCTTCGATATCACCAATATTTTATTTTCCATCTCATTAATAGACAGAGGTGAGAATCTAAATCTAGTACATCTACTTTGAAGTGCTGGTATAATTTTGTTTACATAGTTGCATATTATACAAAATCTAACGTGTTCTGAGTATTTTTCCAATATTCTTCGTAGTGCCATTTGAGCAACTGGTGTCATCATATCAGCCTCATCAAGGATAATCAATTTCACATTTCGCCAGAAATTTCTATTAAATATTAAATTTGTAGTCCCACTTTCACCTCTAGTCTGTATATCTTCAAAACAATCCATATTTGTTGAAGCACTTTCAGCAAAGCTTTTTATTGCATCCCTTACTACATTGATTCCCCTGTCATCAGAGGCGTTAAGTTCTAGTACCATCTGCTTCTTTTTCTCACCATATATAAATTTAGAAAGTGCATGAATTGTCGATGTTTTCCCCGTACCAGGGGGTCCATGAAAAAGTAAGTGAGGTAGTTGACCAGAGTTTATAAATTTACCAATTGTCCCAATTATATCCTTGTGTGAAATTAGCTCCTCCAGACTCTCAGGTCTATATTTCTCCACCCATGGAAGTAGATCACCCTGTTGCATTAGAGAGACTAAAATTACACTTTAATTTGTTTAGAGATTTTGAACTTATTTAGCGATGTTTTTTTCCCACAAGCGCTTATTTATGAAAATATGTTCGGTACCTAGAGTTGGCTAGCCGCAAGTATATATTGTATTTGCTGTGTTTTAGTCTCTACTAAAGCATCACGCCTGAATACTCAGCAAAGGCTGAGATATGCTATCTTCTTAGCTAAAACAACGCGGATTATTCACTTAAATATGCTAGCTTTACTATAAAATCAGGTTAGAACTTTGCTATAGTTAATAGTATCGTGCTAGTAAAACTCCCTAATACTCCCTTTACTACTTTTAGGCGCCAAATTCATGTGTGTTGTAGTGTGTAAGAAATATGCCTGGGCGAAGAAGACGGCATGTAAATTCACGAAGTGTGACAATTATCAGAGTGTGCAGGTCTCCTAAAAATAATGCTGGAAATAGAAATATATTAGGGGAGCTCCCAGATTGAAGTAGATCTGAGGTTATGAAGTAAGACGAGAGAAAGATCATTGAAGCAGGAAATAGACAACTGAAATGATGGACTTTAGCACTAGAAGTAAAAGTAGTACTTTGCAAGATAACGCACATATACGAAGCAATTCACTAAGAGATATAAGATCAAATAGCTGTAATGTCCTGAGATATTGTAATAATTATAAACAAGGATGTAACTGTTGCAGTGGTGATAACATGACATGTGCAATATCTTCTTCAGCAATGGCATCATCTGTTATGTTTTCCTTCGTATCTATGACATCACTTGCCTCTCCTGGAATTTCGTCATCTTCACCTTCTATAGCTGCGTCATCTCCGCAACCACAAAATGCTACAGTAAAAAGGACACCTTGCTGTTTATCTTCTTCGTCTACAAGTTCATCTTTGATAAGTTTTAATTCAAACAATAAAGGTCAAAATGGAAAAAGTGGGCGAACTGACTTGATGGTTACAGGGAAAAGTCAAGCTAGATTAAGTACTAATTATTATGCAAATACATATCAAAGTATTCAGCATAAGAATCCTCAGAAACATCTAATCCATAGTGATAATAGTAATAGCAATATAGTCCTCTATGAGGACAAGATTGAAAATATTACAGCAATGCCTGCCTCATCTTCGAGTTATTCAATTGTTTATAAAAGGTTATATGATAGACTAGGGCCAGTAATGTTCCCCATAGTACCGCTAGGAGGTGTGCAACACCCACGAGGTGAATTAAAGCTATGGCCTACTACTCATGACCGTGTGATATCCCAGAACTCCTCAAAACGCAAGGTACATAGATCACTATGGATACCCTCAATGAATTCCTTTGGAAGAACTGGTAGTACCATTGCATATCCAATGGCACTAAAATTTGTAGAAGATGGCAATGCACGAGATGGTCGAAGCATCAAGAGAGAAATTGAATGTCATCTATATATATATCAAAGGTTATCTCAGTTACAACAAGAACAGGGTTACAAGCAGTTAGAAGATGCTTGGCCTTGTGCAGAATTAGTAGGATATTACTTGGATAAAAAAAACCCCGGAAATTCAGTTTTAATGACAAGGAAGCTATCAGGACCAGATTTTTTTGATATTATAAGATCTGAGCATTCATCTTCAACCAGTGCAATATATAACAGATGCCAAGCATTGTATGAGTACAATAAACTCCAGTGGTGTACTTTGGCATTAACTAGAATTGCTCAATATGCTGCTTTAGGAATTAGGCACAACGATATAAAACCAGATAACATTGTATTAGATTTTTACTATCACCATGAGAACAATGAAAGACATCTAGATGTCAAGATAATAGATTTAGGAACAGCTTCTATGCATAGTGCGAAGGATTTTACTGGTGGAACTTCATGGTATGAAAGCCCTGAGCAGAAAATGCTTGAATATTATACAAAGAAGAGTCGCGATATAAAATCTGCGAAACTTGTAGAAATTGGCTTGTCTTCTGATGCTTGGGGAACAGGAATATCCATAGCAGAAGTTTTAATGGGTAGACGTGTTGTAGATAGTATGAAGGTTCCATACGGTCCAGGCCCCCTTGAATTTAAAGGAAAAGATGGCTGGGTTATAGAACCACGAGAGTGGATAGAGTTTGCTAAGATGGCACTAGGATTTAGTAATACTGATCATTATAAATATACCATTTGTGAAGAAGCAGCTAAGTTTATCTTTAGTAAGCTTGTTCAAGTTGACCCCAACAAGCGTGCATGCATTAAGGATGTAATTCAAGAGATGGACTTTTATACACAGAAGGCATATAAAGTAGTTAAACTGAAGCATCAATAACAATGAAACTGATGAAAGAAGCAGAAATATTTTATGCCTATCTGTTTCCTTTAAAATTTACGAAGTTTAGAGTAAAAAAAAGTTGAATATTGAATCAGGTCACGAAGAGGACTCAATTCAAAAAAGGTACAAGATAGTCATCCTCCATCTTTTTTAGTATTACAATACTACTTTATAATCAGAGATGCACTAAATGTCAAATCAGTTATCTGAATGAACAATGTAATATTATTAATGGATATAGCTGTGTTAAAGTGTGTAACTTCACATTTTTTAGGATATTAAAGTTTAAAATGCTATACTCACGTAGAATAAACCTGTATAAGACAATATTTTCATATAGAAAGTGTTCTTCACTACCTTACAGGAAAATCACTTCATCTCATTCGTGGATAGTCTGCAGCATTGGCCAAATAAAAGATTCAAGTTCATTTGCATATTTAGTATATATAGTATTTTTAGCGTTGTAAAATCTGCAATTGTCAAACATCCTCTTTAATTCGCTGCAAAATTCCTCCTTACTTTTGTATTCCTTGTTCCTTGATTTACGTTTCATTGTTTGTATGTCTGTAGGTTCTTTTATAATTTCATAGTAATCTGATGCCTCTCCAACGCTTACAGGTTTCCTAAATGGCCATGCATTTTCGTGACGTGAAAGAGTATCAAGTACCTGCCATATCTGATCATTCATTGATAAATCCTGTTTATTTTGCTCAATATTATCTAGCTTTCTTTCTACCCAACCATTCTCTAAAATTCCAGGAATATCTAGTGGATATACTTTATTATTCTCGATATTTATAATGTCCTTTTGTTCAGCTTTAACTTCTTTAGGTACTACTGCAGAGTGATCCATATTTTCATGATTGTGTTGCTCCATCTCTTTCCATATTATTAATCCTGGATATACCTTAAGTGGTCTTATAAGCTGTATAGCTTGTAAAATTGTGAACTTCTGTTCACAAAACAATTCTGATAATCTCAAATAATTTATCTCAGGATTAATATAACATTCCATTAAAGTCCCTCCATCATAATCTTTAATATATCCAAGCCATCTACTTTTTGGCATTGTTACATCCTTCCTAAATCCCTGTTTCCTGAAATATCCTGTAGCAAAGTTATCTGCATATGTCAAAAAAAATTCAATGCCTCCTTTCTTCACATGCTGTTTTAAGTGGTTCATTAATCTTGTACCATAACCTTTTACTTGTTCTGTGCTAGTTACTGCTAAAAATGCTATTTCAGCAAATTTTTGCTCAAAATACGGTCTAAAACAAACTCCTCCTATTACTTTTCCTTTCTTAAGTAAACAAAAGGAATAATGGTTTCTATCGAAAACCAATCTTACAATGTATTCTCTAGGCATTTTCGGCAATTGCCTAGAAAACACGTTTTTCAAAGCTATAAGTTTAATTAAGTGTTCTGGCTCTCTATCATTAGTTATACATTCAAAAGAAATTATACCTAAAGCTTCTTCTTTTGCACTTCCACTATCTCTATGAAGAAATCCCAATCCTGTTTCTGATAATAAATTTGATTGAAGAGTCTCATCACTCCCCATAAAACGTAAATATTCCCATGCTTGTCTTTTCAGGTGGTTTAAGCTATCTTTATCTGTAATATCACATATATTACAAATTCTAAGCAGTAACTTCATACTAACTGCTTTACTTAAAAAGCTTGATAGTGCTGCCTTAGAGTATATTCCCGCAGATTCCAATCCCTCTAGCATTATTCCAATATTTATAATGATTAAAGATCGTAGAAATTTCAATGAGAATAATTCACTAATAGTCTTACCAGATGGAGCTTCCCTGAGCAAGTAAAGTTTCCATGCTAAATAATATTCAGAGTAGTTCTCATCAGGCAAATACTCTGTAATAATACTCATATTTTTTGTCTGGTTCTTATTAATTGTTGGAAATGGTCCCTTCTCACGCTTCTCCAAAGTTACCCATTGTTGTATATTTATAATAGAAATGATCGATGAAATAACATCTTCTGCTGACACTTTGAATACATTAAATTGCTCGCCATTATACTGTTCTTGGATTTCTAAACAAGGAGACATTCTAAGTAGGTTTGGATCAGAAAAGTCTCTATAAATTGAATTTAAAAGTTCAAAGTCCACATGATCTAGAATAAAACTCTTTATTTCACCAAACAATACTGGAGGTATCTGTTTAACAATAGAGCAGTCATCTGATCCAGCTAACATAAATTGATTATTAGTTCAGAACTATTACTATTTGGAGAATCAGTATTTTGGTCTGTAAAGTACTAGTATAAAAAGAGGTCAAGTGTCCTTGAGCGTAACCGCAAACCTGAAAACTTTATTTAGCGGGTTATGTCAGTTAAATTTCAGAGGGCCTACAATTTAATAACTTCCACGTTTACTCATAATTAGCTATCGAATATCACATTCGAAATCCTCCTAAGTAATACCAAGTAACGGAGCCAGTACAAACACTTTTTTTTAATAATGATTATTAAAACGAAACCAGGCGCTAAGGATTGGCGTATGAAATTGAGCCCTGAACTTCTTGTCATTCTCCTTAGTAGGTAGTTTTCCCACTTTTGCTAAGTGATTAGAGAATAGTATCATCATAGTTACTGAAAGCAAATACTTTATTTCTTAGGTGAACTTTTGCGCTTACTTCAAGTGATAATTACTGTGATGCTAAAACAAGCTATAGGGAGGATCTTTTTTGTTTTAAAAGGTTTATTAAGGATAACTTTTAAGACAAGTTTACACCATAGATATATATATTCTGCCATAATCCTAAGCCCGTTTATCTACAGCACAATGAAGGTGAGTTATTTCAGTTTGCCAGTGGTAACTAAGAAACTAGCATTAAAAATACTTTTAACTTGTGTTCTGGAGATTAGACACTCTGTTGCTTCTCAATATACAATACTTTAACATTAAATGAGATCATATTTGATAGATTGAATTGGCTGAATGAAAGGCTACTGGTATGTCTCTTGTTTCTTCAGTTAATAGCTACGAAGCTAGAAATATATATATAATTGACTTGTTCATTAATATAGGAAGACGAAATTGAAAGAGAACTTTTGAACTGTGCTTGATACAATCATATGAGACACTAAATTACTAATCTGATAAAGAAATTATTATTAACTACTCTAAGATTTTATTATCAGTTTAATTAATTTAACATGTACTCAATAGGAATAGCTTTTGAACCTTCACTATTGAGACTAGTTTTAGTCTCAGAATTTAGATTTGAAATATTTTTTTGACTAATATTTCTTAGGTTATCTTCTCCCACTTCTTCGGACTCCTCTATTTGAGGGCTGGGAACTTTACTAGATTCATTTCTTGAGCTATATAACTCATCTTGAATTGTATCTTCTACTTCTCCGTAAGTTGATTGCTTTATACCTAATGTATGGACTATTCTGAGTTCATTATCAAGTCCCATAACCTCATCTATTATCAATGGATGCAAAGTAGAGGATCCAATTCTGAAAGTAACCGAGGAAGATGTAAACTCATCTCCTAAAGAACGCTCAACCTGTCTAATGAATCCCATCGCAGTTTCAATAGAACTAACACCTCCTTGCAGTTTCAATCCTACATGCCTAGTTTGTAGATGTCTTAGTCTATTTGGGAGGACAAGCGAACCAGAGTTAAAGCATTCTTCACAGTAAATATGAAGCTCCTTCAGTAATTCTTCATCAGTTCCAGCTGCAACTTCCTTATCACATGGTGTTTCACCATTTATTGCATGAGCAATCTCTGTTAATACAGATTGTAACTTTTCAGGAGATAAGCAGTGACCACTTTTACCAGTACATGTTACAATAAAATCTGCACCACCTAGTATAGCACATCTAACTAGTGATGCTATTTTTGGTAGTTCACGCACTTCTTCAATTTCCAATACAACTTTTAAAATTGTCTGAGTCCCCACTAGAGACTTCACTCTACTGATTTCATCGATGACTTTTTCCATTTGATCTAATAATAGGTTATAACTAAAGTTATAGAGCATAGGAAAGGTAAAGCTCCTAAAAATTAATCAGAAAAAATGAATTTTTTTTTTTTTTTTATAAACAATATGTAGTCATTTATATATTATAATATATGAAACATCCACTTTTTAGGATAAAAAGTCCTAATTAAATATGTATGATTTCATTATCAATATAGTTACATAGAGTAACACTGTACATAAACTCTTATTAGAGACTAAGCTAAACTTACCTATAATCAATTACATATTCAACTTCATGAACTTTGTAATATTCTACAGCATTATAAATTTCTGCTCTTATTGCTTCTTCACACCCATCACCTTTTGGCCATGCTACAACGGTTGAAATTAAAGTTTTCGCATCTTTAGAAATTGCATGCTTAACTGCTGGAACAAATTGAGGATACGTGGAAATTACAACTGGTGCTAATTCATCTACTTTTGTTGCCTCAAAAACCACTTTTTTTAGTAAGTTCGTATCCAAATCTGAACTATATAGAGTTAACTCACATAATGGAGCCAATTTTCTTAATAGCTCCTTACTATATGTCATTTTGATTTTTTATTTATAGCTTCACCTTCTTGTTACTATGAAGTGTAACTTACCGATGCTGTACTTTTTGCAAAGACATGCACACAAAACATCCGAATATGTCTACAAATTTATAATAACTGAAGTATTTATTTAGAAAACCTACAAATAGAAAGATTTAATATTTAATTTAAATAACAAGTCTTTCCTATAGTTAAAAGTCACTCCCATGCACTGTTGCGGTTTAACAGCAAATGCATCATTTTGTTATATTGTAAGTTCACTACTTTCATAGAACTATACACATTATAAATATGACGAAGATTATTTCTGTATACTTAACAAAGAAAGCTGTATTTGTGCAAATATATAAAAGTGACTTTTTCAGATATACTATTGAACTATTTAGCGTTATATTGGAAATCTGTAGCAGAGTAGAACTTAAATTCCAATAAAAAAAATTATTTGAAATTGTACAATCCTGCACTACCTAAACAAAATCACAACTTCGTACTTAAAAAGTGAAGATTATTACAATTTAGAATGTGATATAATCCACTATTTTTGAAATCAGTTTACACTCAAAACTCCCAGACATACATTATATAAGTTCTACTAGTTAAATAATATTTACTTAGTATATCTAGCATAAGTTAACAAAACTGCAATGTTGCATCTGAAAGGCAAAAGTCTGAATTGTATAACTCTGCAGTTTCAAAGGAAGTAATATGACATGGAAATATATTGCCATTAGTCCTACAGGTTGCTGGGTTATCTTCATTTGTGGGCATATTCACAGGATCTATTCTCCAATAATTAAATGAATTATACTGAATAAATATAGACAGGGAGTGATTTAAGTTTATAGTTATAATTCAGTATATTAAACAGGCTAGACATCTCAAGTTTAAGCTAAACAATAAATACACAACGCTATTGTTTAGATTTCTTGCAAGAGATAATGAAGGAGGATTGTAATTCATAAGCATTATTACTGCACTTCGCAATCATCGAAGTATCAATGTTATTTCACAACAATTTGATCTTCATTAAAAGTGCTATTGCTTTTAAGTGAACAAGCACAAATTAGCCAATCGAAGCCTCCTTCAAAAGCCGTGTGAGTTAATAATTTGTAATTCCGACGAACCTGATCATCCATAACATCCAGTTCATTATCACAAGGGCACTCAAATATAGTACTTTCCAGTGTATGGACAGGCACATCTTTAGTAGGTATAAAGTATTTATCTGATATCGTACTTTGGCAATTATCAGAGGAATCCCGTAGTGCTCCAAGCTTTAAGCATTTAATAGGAGGGAACATGTATTCAACAATTTCAGTCATTGTTTCATACCTATAAAAAAAACAAAAAAAAAGTTTAAACAATTAGAATTAGTTCATTTATTGGAAATGATGAATTCCTATTCAAATGATGGTTTGGTAACAAATTATAAATTGAAGGTCTCTAGTTTAAAGATGTAAAATACTTCACCTTTCTAGGAGAATATCTAAAACTTACGTCTTTGTATAAGTCCGATTGATGTGATGTAAAGTACCCTTAGTATCAATGATAAATATTTTACCTTCAGGTACTCCTACATGGGAATATGCCCTGTAGTCTGTATCTCTATTACCAAATCCAGCATATAATGGATTCCTGTATATAGGAAATAAATTCCTTATATCTCTTAAAGCCGCTATTTTAAAAATGTAGGGTGTCCTATCAATAACTTCTCTCTTGAAAGAAGGAAATAATCTGTCAGGTGAAAGAAAAACAGGTCCATCTGGTAATGTTGAATGCCCTCTGTCGCCTGTTTGTTTAAGTCCAAACAAAAAGTCACGTGTTGCATCTGCTTGTCCAATAGCTCTAGCAGTTAAATATATAATTTTATATCCATTTTCTTCAATCTTGGTTAGCAATTCAGCTACACCTTGATGTGACCAATCACGTCCAACAATAGGCATAAGTTGTCCAAGTACATCTGACCTCGTGATAGTACCATCCACATCTGAAATTACAATTTTCGTATTTGGTGGCCATAAATATATTGTACCACTAACTGTTTTTTTACCCTGTAATGATGATTCAACACTGTATGTTATGCGATTTGCCCCCCAGTGTAACCCCATAGCTCTTAATTGATCCGAAGTAGGCCGCAAAGAGTGGCGTGCTCTACTAGGTACAGAAGATTGTTCATACAGTGATAAGCAGGCCGATACAGATGAACCAATCAAACTACCATCACTATTTGTAACATCATCATATTGCATTAGAGAAGCAGGTGATGATAAACAATGACCGACTTGCTGGTTAGATAGTGGTGTGTATTCTAAGGAAGGATATTCATCTGATTTTGATGGTCCGATATAATTTGAGTAATCTTCATGATCTTTTAAATTTATTCTATTACTTGCCAGTGGTAACTTATATTGTGAATAGTCCATTATTCCAATGAACTTTTGCAATGCAGTAGGTGATAGTGGCTTTCCATATGCACATAGAGATGCTAATATAGGGTAGAACGCCTTTATAGGATAATAAGGTGGTTTATTGTTTAAGCGAGCTACTAAACAAGGATGATACCAAATATTTATATCACTCTGAAATTGCTCAGAATTTATTAAATTAGCTTGAAAAACATCGTTATCATGAATTTGGTCATCGTAAGTTCCATATAGTAAGTGACCACATAATGAAAATGAAATACTTGCACCGTTGTGAAATTGTTCACCTAATTCTTCCCCAGTCCTCAGAAAAAGTATAGAATCAGATTCTTCAGCATTACTCTCATTCCTATAGCTTGATGAAAAAATGACTTTTTTATTTTTCAAAATTGAAGGATTGTACATACCTTGTGAAGACGCAATTTGTTCTTTACAAGTATATGAATGATGAGGTGGAGTCGGAGCATCAATATCTCTTGGAAATATTACTGGAGACTCTATAGAAGAAGCTGAACTATTGCAGTTATCATCTAACAAATCTATTTTCTCAACAAAGTAGGCCTCACCAGCTGCCCCCAACTTCATCTTAAGATCGATATCCTTCCCATTCACATTTATAGATACTACTTTCTCACGACTCTTTAATAACTTTGCTTTACCAAATCTAACATGAAATGGGGTACTCTGGAAAGTTCCATCAGCTTGTGGTACAACAATGATATCTATACATCCACTTAGCGTTGCTTGATTAATATCCAAAACTGAACTAACTGAACTTACTATTCTGCCCCACATTAATATTAAGTTATATCCCAAATTTCCTGATAATTCCAATTACATCATACTATTCTGAGAAAGAAAAAACTTAGCTTTGTGTATCTGAAGTGCGTAGCTTACTTTTAGTAACTATTTACGTAAAGTGCTAATCCTATACTTGCCGCTCTAAGACCCAACTATTGCCTCTTCAGGGTTGTTTATCTTTAGATCTATTTTCCGAAGCTTTATAACCATTTAATTTATCAATGGTCATTTTTATCAGTAGTACATTAAGTTACTAGAGATCATTATGTTGTATAACTTGAAATATCAAGTAAATAATAAAATTCTATTTATTCTTAGATAAATAAGAGTGCAAACTTATACTTATTAACATTAGTTTAAAAGCTACTTTTCAGTTTGTACATATTATTATAAGACTTTAGACGTAATGTCCCACTATTATTTGAAGTCCTGATAACAGTACCATCTACTTTCGTTAAAATACATATACTTAAGCACCTAAGTTACTACCTAGCAAGATTATAGCGGTCTCACCAAAGATCTTAGTTTTAATTTGAAAGTGAATAGGGTGTGCATAATATTCGTTTAAGCAAATATGTTACTTTTGGAAGATGTTGATGCCGGCTCTCCATTGATGCCTTATCTTAGACGAATATTCAATGCCTTAAATAAAGAACTGTGCTTATATTATAGTCCACTATACTTTCCTTCAGCATTCTCCATCCCATCAATTGAGGATAATCCTAGCAACTATAGCAGCTTAACAAAGTCTCTGTATATTTACAGACACTCAAAAGAGTACTGTCTAATTGAGAGCTGTCTCGATAGTGTTCGTATAAGCTTAAAGTTTTACTTGATGTGTAAATTTGAACAATGCTTGTTTCAACAAGCGATAAAGTTTATGACAAAGAACTCTGATTATTTCAAAATAATTAGGAAGAAAGAAATTTTGGGATTTGACGTCAGTTTCTTAATAAGTTACAATATGTTTGAAAATCTACATTATCCTTTGATAAGTCCGGGAAAGTATGATGCCATAAATTTCGTATTGAAGTTTATTGTTAGTATTGATATGCAGATACAGAAGGAGAGACTTCAAAGCACATATTTTTCAAGAAGTTTTGCATATTTACTTGTATCAAGCCTTAATGTAGAAGACTTTGAATGTGGAGATAATATTAAAATTATTGGACAAGAAGTGATGTCTGAGAAAAAGAGCAGAGTGAAATCGAAGAATTGTAACTCAGAATGCTTATCGTCTATAGTGAACGAAGACTCTACAGTTACTCACCAGATTAATACCAAGTCTATAGAAGAGGGTACTCCAAATAATAGTTTGTTAAACGATTCATTGAGTAAAGATTCTGTAATATTAAAGGCATTACGTACAAGATTTAGAATGAAGAATTTGCAATGAGTCTCAATAGATAAGACGACTTAAATTTATAGCGTTAATGAGAAATTATATTATAATAACTTGTGAAAAAATCTAGCACTTCATTTTCATTATCTAGTGTAATATCTAGTGAACTCAAATGTGAACTAGACCAATTTTTAATAAAGCTTCGAATTACATTTGTTTGGTTGACTTCTATATTACCACCACAGAACTCAATTTTGTACTTGGCATCAATATATGACGCATTAAAGTTAGGGTTACCTAAATTTAGTAGTTTCCGTGAATCTCCAATATTACCTCTATATATAAGTACAATCCAGTGAGTGTTTACATTTAGCAATTTAGGCCAATTCCTACTTTTCCATCCATCAAAGTTACCAATAATTCTTCTTTGGCACCTTATTCCCTTATTGCTTAACAGTTGCTTTAATTTTAGAGCACTTACTTGAAAACGGATGTCTCTTGCGATAATATACACAAGGGGGTTATTTTGGTTTATATAAAGAAAGTCTGCTTGCTCAACTTGAATACGAGTTCTATCGAAATTCATTAAGTACTTAAAGTCTTTTTCATGAAATAAAAATAGTTTCTGTAGAATTCTCCCAAGAAATATCTCAAACCCGACGGCTGATATCTTGTCTACTTTTTGATAATTTGCACTAAATTTAAAAATATTACTGTGTCTGTTAGCTCTTATATACCAATCGTCATATCTACCACCCTTTACTAAAAGTTCTCCTAGATTCACTTGTTGGGCTGTAAATGACGAATTAATATTTGAGCTATACCCTACAGCATATTCCACAGTGGACCCAGCTTTGCAAAAAGATCCTATTCTCTTTGTTTGATCACTATATTGTCTATAAATTCTAGCATATGATAAGGTATCACCTCCACTATATGTTGACAGTACAGTATATATATAGAAAAAAAAACCACTATTAAAAAATGTTGAGCCAGAAATTAAAAGTGGATCAAAGTAAATAGAACATGTAATTGATGAGCTAAATGTTTTAGCTACAGCTTCATCAAAGTAGAGAATCCGATAAAGTATTGTTGACAAATTAGGCGTTATATATGCTGACCAATTATTGTATGGAAAATGAGTAGTCTTCTCATCTGCTTCGTTAACTAATACACTTGTGTCTGCTTGGTTCAATAGATTCCAAGAATTTGGGAAGGTAACTTTAGATACAGTTTTCCTATGTGATTCATCAATTGCAGTTGCCATGTACTTTTTCTTTTGAGTATAAAATGATTCGCTTATAGCCTTCGATCCATAGTAAACAAGATCCACAAATTCTCTAATTGATCCTTCAAATTCAAATGTTATTTGCCATAACCACTCAGCTACTACTTCTAGTACAGTTGGGTGCAATAAAATCGTAAGCCCAATAAAATAAGGTGAAGGTAGTGTCGATTCAGTAGAATCAGAACATGTGAAACAGTTTCTAGTACTACTTTCACTATGTGCAGTTGCAGATTCTGCCAGTGATATCTTTCCAAAATGCCATAAAGTATCATAAAATTTCTGTTTAGAGAGTCCCTTAGGGATTATGTCTTGTAACCAAGCTTGAAAGTAACTTGCTTTATCACTTGTTAATCCTACCCAATCTTCCATTAAAACAGTAAAAAGCTGTGAATCTCCCCAAATACACTTTTGTTTGCCTATCCAAGGTTCAAATGGTCTCAAAATATCTATTGCAGTTAGAATTAGTTCTAAGTCATAGTACATAACTATGTTGTAGTATGAAAGAGGAGCTATTGTATTATGACCAATTGATAGATATTTCGATTTCAGCATCTTTGAGTACCCAATGAACTCTTTTTCTTGTACTTGATCTTGAATTTGCTCTAAGAATTCGGCTTCTATCGCATCATCAATCTTAACAACTATATCATAGGCAGCAGCTAATGTATTTTTTGGGTGATCATAAGATTCTCCATTAAAATTCAAGCATTTATCATTTAAAATAGTTCTATTGTTGGAAAATAGAGATCTAGTATTCTCATTGCTGTCAATCGAAATTCCATTACATTCTAAAAATATGTTACTACTAATACACCAACGTTTAACAACAGCCCCACTTTTGAGACCTCTTCCATCTCCCAACAGAATAGCCATATTAGGAAGTAATTGAGAACAAAGAACTAATGGTATACCACAATTATCCAAAATAAGTGGAGATTGAGAATTCATGTTCTCCTCAAAGTTAGCAGCATGAGAGTTATTTAAGTCACTTGAAGCCTTACATACTTCTGTTCTAAGTAGAGTAGTTTTTGATTGATTTGCTTTATTCACTTCAGGGTGAGTATTCAAACTATCTCTAATATCATTCTTCCAGTTATTTACAAGTGATGAAAATTCACTGGTAAGAAAGGAAAAACTTGGTTCAGGAATGTTTGGCCGTAGTAAAGGAACTTCTACTTCAACAGCACCACGGTGTTTGAAAGAGGTAGATACCCACTGTATTAATTTAGATCTTAACTTCCATAGTGTCGAAACATATGGAAAGCTGTTATATTGTACATATGCAAATTGGTCATATACGGGGTCAACCATCCTACCGAATGAAGCTGTTTTCGCAGCCAATCTTTTACCTAGAGAAAATAAAGTTGATATTACCTGTATTGATTCAGTTGAGTACGGATTACGGCGAATAATACTACATATCTTTGAAGCTATATTTTCTCGACTATTCAGGAACCCATTTGTTTTAACAACTGCAGATATAGCTTTGTCTCTATCGCTATCTTCAGAGAACTTTGCATAATTATAACCTATAAGTGAATCAGTCTTAACAGACCTTCCAGATTGCTCAAGTATCCATTCATTATAAAGTAGTTGATAGGCTGTTGGCCTATGAGACGGAATAGGGCTCAGTAATGCTCTAATGAGTGAAATAGTACGTGATGGAATCTTGTGGTTATATGGAAATTCACGTCTCTGTGTCAAGGAACTAAGAACAGCAACTCTCTCCATTTCTGTTTGAAATGGTGGGTAGAACATTTCAAATAATATAACACCCATACTAAATAAATCTGCACTTTGATCATAGATATTTCCATTAGCTTGTTCAGGAGCCATATAAAACATCGTACCTACACCAGAAGATAAATACCCTTTAAAAGAAGAATCTCCATTTATCTTAAAATTTGCAGCGTCATGTTTATCTGTATTGCTACCGGCATGAACAAATGTTGTTAGGCCGAAATCTCCCAATTTGACCAGAAAACACTGATGATCTAGACGATCTGCTTTATCTACACTATTTACAATATCAACAGCTCTTGATTCAACAGATTTATTACTTTTTGGTAATGAAATATCAGCATGCCCCTCCAATGTATCACGTTCGAGTTTCAAAAATATATTAGATGGCTTTAAATCCCTGTGGATTACTCCCTTGCCATGAATATATGAAAGACCTTCTATTATCTGATAAAATAAATGCCATATTAGATAGTGATCTTTATATAGAAGTCCTTTATTTATTGCAGTTTGAAGAGTATCACCTGGGCAATATTCCATTTGAATATAAAGGTATATCATAGATTGTTTAATTGTATATTCCCTTGCTCTACATTCCTTGCTATTAAGAGAAATCTCAAGATCACTATTCACATTGCAATGTTTGTCAGTGCTTCTGTTAGATAATCTTTGTAAATTTATCTCTGATATACTAGAGATTGACTTTAGAAAAGATAAATTCATTTTATTTTCGTAATTACTAGTCTGATGTTGAACTTTATTCAGTGAAGTGATGTCACCTTGATCTAAGTTGAAACTAATTTCTCGTGGTCCTTCAGTCCATGCTTGATAGTATCTAACAATTTTATCGTGGTTTAGGCAAGCTAGCATAGCTGCTTCATTAATTAGCACCTGATTTTCTCGGGTACTTGCTGCCTTCAAAGGAATCCTTTTTATTGCATAAATACATCTTCCACCTGCCTTTTCACGAACCCGAAAAACAGATCCAAAACCACCAAATCCTAGAATTTCCAAAACTTCAAAGTCATTATCTAATCTGCTATTAGTATTACCTAATTGGGATGTTATCGTAACTTCGTGAAAAGACTCAGATAATGGCTGATGCTCAGTAACAACTTGTGTACTCTCAAATAAACTTGATAAACACATATCATCTAAATGCACATCCTCAAAGTATTTTTTGCTAGGTTTTATACTTAAAGGGGTTTGCCTGTTCAAATAATTTAGTAATGTATCTACAATACCATTCAGGACAAAATTCCCTTTGTTAGATGATATATACTTATGCACAATATCCTTAATAATATATCTTTCAGCCTTGCATATATTATGAAAAGCTAGAAAAGATATTTCTGGGCCCTCTGCTGGATATTGCTTAGTAATTACCAGCTCAAATTCTATTCTACAAAAGTACTTGCTAACTTTGCTTAGTTCAAATTTACCTAAATTACTCTTTTGTTCAGAACATATCATTATTGTTAATATAGCAGGGGAATAATTGTTATCACCTGAATTTCTAGTACTCTCAACAAAAGAGACCAAACTTTTACTGCTGTAGCTGGAGGACCATATTGTCAGTTGTGGATTTTCCGCTAAAAGAAAACCATAGTCAATAATATGTATTACACAACCCTTATACCTTGATATTGCCAAAATTTCTTCTGCTAGACTTCCCATTAGCTCTAAAAGTATTCATCTTAAAAATAGAACATTTTCATTTGAATTTCTTCCTTAAGTCTATCCCAATAAGCAAACTGTAAAGCTCACCGCTCTCAATAGTTTGTTTAATTTACCGCTCTAAAACTGGGAGGTGATATGATGGGAAAGATCTTTTATAACTAACCTCATGACTATTATTTTAGCTTTAGTTGGAGCATATGAACCCCAAATAAGTACAGAGTGTATAAGTCAAGCTTATAGATGTCTACAAAAAATATATAGCGGAGATGTCATCATTGTAGCTGTTGGGAATCACCACACTGAACATAGGAAGGACTGTTTGTCAATAAAAGTGAAAGGAAGGGAAATTACCAATTTTACTCATTCAAACTCTAGCTATACCAGTACTGAGAAATATTATAATCAATTCCAAATATGGACTAGATCTATATTTAGTATATTATTAAAACTTAAAAGGAGATTTGAACAGATTTATTCAATAAAAGCATCTTCAACATCAACTTTAATAATAGGCTTAACAAGTGTTGACATTTTCCCATCAAATCAGTACCACTTTTCTTATGGTCAGACTGATGCAGAAAATGGGCTAGCTATTGTGTCAGGTTATAGAATATATAAAAGGGGTGATACTAATAATAGACTAGTTAAAGTTCTTCTTCATGAGTACGGTCACTTAATGAAATTGACTCACTGTGAATGCAGTTGTATAATGTCTATTGTCTCTTCGTTATCTGAGCTAGATGAAAGGCCATTAAAGTTTTGCTCTTCTTGTATAAATCAACTACTGCAAAACAATGAATCAGTATCTCCAAAAAACCTACTAATTCTATCTCCAGGTAGTGAGTAATTCACTGAAATAGATAATGGATACTGATTTCTACTTTTAGAACCACTTGACTTGCTGGATCCATGTTTCTTGGTAATAAAGAACTTGTTTATTCCTCTAGCTATATCTAAACGTAAAATATGCTCGTCACTTATCAAACCTTCGTAAATATTTCTCTCTTTTATTGACTGTGTTATAATATTTCTTGATTCAAGTATTAGAAAATTTGATATATGTCTTATAGATGGTACAATATGTTTCCTAAGCAAGTACAATTCCCAAAGACCAAGATCAATTGATAGCATTATATTTGTGCTGTACTCAGAAGAGTATATATTTTCATGGTCATCAATTATTTTATAATAATTCCATTGATCTCCATTCCTTGTTCTGAGTAATTTTGCCGTTAAATTGAACTCTTGAGACATATTATCGAGAGACATCATTGAACTCAAATATGATATATTTATATTAAATAGTTTTTTTACTAGAATCAGGTTCAATGCGCTACTAGAAGGTGATGATATTGCTGATACTCTAATAAGCTTCTTGATAAACTTGGCTAGTAGTTTCAATGGTAACATAGGCGAAGATAGTGACAAAGACAGTAAATTTAAGAATTTACTGCTCTGAGGTAGGTTAAATATTGGTACAGAAATTGTTGAATATAAATTATAGTAGTATCCCGTACAGCTAGATGCACATTTGCTGTAATCTTCATTTAATCTATAATTAACTATTAGAAAAAATAGACCGCTTAGTGCACTTGCTGATAGAGTTGTGTTTTCTAGTTTATTCGCTGAGAGATACTTTTTACCTAACCCATTACATATCATTACATAAGCATCAGCCATTTCCAGTGGGTTTGTTAAATGTGGCATTATATTGATTGGTATGTAATGTAACAAGTGTTTCAAAATAGCTACTTTAACTGACAGTTCATTGTCACAATCCATATTAATTACAGCATGCAGATAGACAATCCATAGCTGCTGATATACTGTTTTATACTTGTCTTGCCAATTGGAAGAGTCATGTTCAAACTCACTTCGTAAGGAGCCGTAGTTCGCAGTAGTTTTGTATATATTTGCTAGTTCTCTCTCTCCTCTCTCTAAATCTGTTTTATTCCTAAACTTTCCAATGTTAACTGGTTTAGGCAAATTCAAAATTATAAAACTGATCCTGAGCAAAGTCCCAATTAAAATATCTACACTACAACCATATAGCTCTAAGGATGGATCAACTCGTTTTTCTGTATTGTATCCTACAGAATCCCCAGATTCATAACAAATTTTCTCTAATAGATTCCTAATATGTAAAGCAAAGTGATACCTCAAATTATCATATTTCAACAAGTAGTCCTTCACCAGTATATATTCCAAAAAGAAAGGACTCATATACGAATTAGAGTATTCAGACTTATAAATGTTACTTATAACCAAAAATGTGGCAGTTTTCAAATCTTGCGTTTTTATTGATCTCAATAATATATTGTTTATAATATATGAACTAAAAGATATAGGATAGCTTTGTTTCTCACAAACTACTCCCTTACTTGGTACATCACTACATTGACGTATAAGTATTTCATTTTTGAGCCATTTCATGAGTATTCTTATTGCAGATTCAGATAGCCTCATTCTCACACGCTGAACTTTTAAAACTCCTCTTAATAGCTTTTTTGCGATATTCATATCTATGATAGGGCTGTCTATTATAAAATTCAGTATACAGAGTAAATACTTCATACACACTTCAAACATATCAATTTTAAAGTCTTCAATTCCATATAATGTTTCATTACGATGAATACAATTTGATTTCCCAAAATTAAGTAATGTAGCAGGTATGATTTTCAAATGTCTGCTTTTATACAGTATTAAAAGTTCACTCAGTTTATTTAGTATATTATGTAAATACCTTAATGACTTTCCACTTGAACATAACTCGTCAATAAATCCAAAAAAGTCACTTTGTAAAGTATCCATCTCAGCTTATCGTAACTTTATTATTACTAGTTAAATGATAAGATTTGAGTAAGGTAGTACAATGACTAGTCTTTTATGCGGGGTTAGGTGGCATTGCTAAGAGTGTAGCGACTTACCTACTTAAAGCTCTGTGGTTGACTATAATTTACAATAAATTTTCAAGTCCTCTGTAGATAGAAGGAGGAGGTCCTGAACTTATAAATATTAATATATACATACTAAGATATGTTAATGCCTAATATACTCGTAACTGGGACACCAGGTACTGGTAAGACTAAGTTAAGCAAAAAACTTGGCAAGAAATTTAGAAACTACAAAGTTGTAGAACTCTCAAAAGTCATCAAAAAGAAGAAATTATTTAGTGAATGGGATGATGAAATGGAAAGTAGTATCTTTAATGAGACTATGGTCATTAGATATCTGCAAAAACTATTTAAGAAGTGTAAAAGACTTAACAAGCCAATTATACTAGACTTTCACTCAGTTGACTTTCTATCTGCAGAGTGGTTTGATATAGTTATCTGTCTTAGGGCAGAGACTGATGTCTTGTATGATAGATTGAAAGAGAGGAGTTATCCTGATAAGAAGATTAAGGAGAATATAGAATGTGAAATATTCAATGTCATTTATGAGGATATAACTTCAAAATTTGGCGAGGGTAATATAATAAGCCTATCTAATAACAACTTAGCCCAGCAGAAGAGGAACTTAATTAAGATTTCCGAAAAAGTTACATTATTTAAGAGTAGGTTTTAGTGAGGAAAACTGCATAACTTAAAGACACTTTTTTTTGCAATAAATCCTAGATTCTGTCATAAAGTAGAAAATTCTTATATACTTCTAGTAATAACGAATTAATTTATTTTAATTACCTATATTTCTATTTATTGTCGTTATCTACTATTTCTTCAGATAGCAAAACTTCTTACGCAATCCTTGTGGATGCAGCATCCATGTCTCGGGTAAATTTTAGATCTGGAAATGCTACAAAGTAGTTCCTATAGCAGACTTGAATGAAGGTGTATTTGGGAAGTATTAAATTAAGCTATCACAACTGTGATAAAATCGAGCTAAATTGCCGATATTGTAAATACTTCTAATAATGGAGAATGATCTTGTTAATATTGAAGTATACTTTCCAGATGCGGTTATTTTGGAAGAACAAAACTATGCAGATAACCATCTCACTAGCAAAGAATATGAGCCTGAACTGAAGGAAAGATATAGCTTTACAGATATGTATAATTTTCACTATAACTCTGGTTTTCAGAACTGCTTAGCACATTATGTTGGAGATGTAGATAAAGAAGTGGATAAAGTGGGATTTGCGACTACTAGATATGAAAAAAGTTACTCATATAAAAATTTTAAACTTGAATGGGACGAGAAAAATGAAGTGCTTTATGTCGTTATTCCCTCAGTAGATAGTATAGACCACTGGGTTATGTTGTTTCTGCAACCACTTGGAATTACAAATGACTCGCTAAAAATTGACAATTGCTGTATATCCAATAACTGTAATTTTAAAGTAAGAATAGACGATGAAAGACTACTTTTGTACCCAGATTTACTTGATGATATATATAAATTTATTTTATTTCAACGAAATTTGTGGTATTTTTATAAACATCATATCAATCATATCCATAATAGTGTAACCACATTTGATGATTCTACTGTAGATCACTTGTGGCAAAACCCAGACATAAATGTCTATTTAAAGAAAGATGAAACTGACCACAATTTTTCCAAAGGAAGAGAGGGATGCTGTAGCGAATATTGTGATTCATACTTGAAAGGACAGCATATATTGCCGTGTATTTCAACCACAATTTCTGAGTCAAATGTATTCACTACTGATTCAACAATATTTCCATTATTAACATCTGAAGATTCAAGTAGTAATGATGACTATCAACTTAACTCCTTTACAAATATTTGTAATGGAAATAATGAGAGAGCCTTCTTTCCAATAAATGACTAAATTTGATTTATTATGCTAAATTGCATAACTAATATATCTAGTATATCTAATAATGTATATACTATATTAAATCTCTAAATCTTATTCTCCAATATAAACTCTATATACTAGTGTTCCCCAGTAAGTAGTGTCTCATATTAGCATCTTGTTTGTACACATTTTCAAACGAGTTTGGACGGTTTTCACCTACAAATTTGAGATATCCATTTGGCACTTTTGAAAAATCATCCTTTTGAGATACTAAATAGTAGCAGCACATAATTCCAACTATGATACTCAAAATTACAGATATAGTTAATAGAATAAGCATTGTTTGACTGATTTGCAGTGGAAATGTTCCTACAGGCCTCACTTTTTTTGGGTACAGTAGCGAACTTCCTACAGTAGATGGAGATGTTCCTAATCTAGATAGTGTATTTGTAGACATTGTACTGAATGTTTCGTAGTTATTGTAAACAATATCCCATGCATTTGTCCTTGAGTGAATAAATGATACATTTACATCATAGTCTGATCTCCAGAAATAAATGTAGGCCTGAGTATTTCCCCAATATAATACAAATATAATAAAAAATATTGAATTTTTTTTCATAAATTTCAAGATATCTTTTCTTATTTCAAAGTTCTGTTTAGAGTAATAACTTGTTAGCTAATTTTAGTATACTTTATCCACTGTAAAGAGAAAAAAAAAAGACAAAGTGAAGTATTTGGTATGAGCTTATATCATTACCAAAATAGATTATCAGATTACTTGTCTTTTACTGCTTCTGTAACTTCTATGTAGTGAGCTTATAGGAATTATACAAATAAGTCCAAACAATGCCAAAGCAAATTGATGCATCTAAAAATATTAGTACAACCAACCCGCTACCGGGTTATCCTGGTGTATAAGAATTATTGTTGTTAAAGTTCCTTTTAGTTAAATGGATGAAGCTGATCGTAAACGTTTTGTACTAGAATTAGAATTTGTCCAGTGTTTATCAAATCCGGATTATCTACAATGTAAGTACAAGACAATTGGCAGATGTTTAATTTTAAAAAATATTTATAATGCTATTTGTTTAGGGTTAGAGAAAGAGGGTTATTATAAAGATCCATCATTTATAAGATATCTGAAATATTTATTATATTGGTGTAACCCACCATATTCAAGTTATTTGTCGTAAGTTCAATGTTCATTTTATATTTGTATTATCTAGCTCTCTACACATCTAATTTCTACAATCAAATAATTGTTTATTAGTTATCCACATTGTTTGAGACTTTTAAAAGCCTTGCAAAGTCCAAGTTTCAGAGCTAAACTTAGTAATGATGAAGCAATACAAACAATTAGAGATCAACAATCCTTTCAGTGGGTAAGTATACAAACTCAGATCTTCTTTTTGGAGCGAGTATCATAACTCTTTTCTAGATATATGCTGATTTAGCAGTTTACAAATTCGTTAAAAACAGTAAATGCTGAAGTTCCTACTTATCTTTATTTCAATTTTAAGTTAAAATGAGGAGTGACTTTTTTTATAATAAGGAACATTTGAATAACTAGGGAAGGAATTATTGTATATAGACTTCGAATTCTTACAGTTATCCCTATTATTATTAATTTCATTATAAATAAATTTTGTATTTTATTTTTCATAAATAATTCAATGATACATATAAATTCCATTTTATCTCCTATAAAAGTAGCTAACGTTACTTTTTGCCTTTAATGTAGTAATCTAGTAAATTCACTATTTCAGTTTTACCAATAACACCACTTGAACTTAAATCCCTAACATGTTAAAGTGACTTGGCAGGAATTTATATTCAAAGATGAAATATTGACTAATAGCTGTTAATTTTTGACATTAATATCACTATCAAGTACTACTGGTTACTGTTAGTCCCGATTATTCCAATTATATTTCAGTACTTTGTATCAAACACTTCTTATTTTATAAGGACTATAACATTCACAAATTCCATAGGTACTTAGTAATATTATAAATATAATAGATTAATCATTAATTATTATTCTAAAATATATACGCAGATATAATTTACACTTTCAATACATCCTTAACATCCAATAATGACTAATTGGCAGTGAAAATTGCAAGAATAATAGCTTGTAAAATGAACATCAAAATTTACTTCCCAAATGCAAAACTAGTATAATTGGGAAAATATAGTATCAATAGATATTTTATCAATAAATTTTACATTATTTTCGTCTAAAATATCATTCAATAACAATATCAATTTTTCTTTGATAGTTCCTTATAGACGTACAACCTAAATGTAAAACAATGACACTACAACTTTCTTTGGAAAAATATTATTAGATCCATTTCTAAAGATCTACTTTCGAGTATTGAAATTTCATTTCTATCTCTATGTTTTTTTATAACCTCAAGTTATCTTGAATTGACCCGAATTTCATTAAATTTCCATATTTATCAAATGTTAAGCAAGGGCTTAGTCCCATCACTATTGGTACTCAGTTATACTCTTCTTATATCAAATTTTCAATATAAGGTGATTTTCTTGATGTATCCATTGTTTCTATTTCATATATAAGTTTCACTTCGACTTTCAACTCATTCCCAATAAAATTTGTTGTTATTAAGTAAACTGCTTATCTAACATTTCAGTGACTTGAGTAGCTATGATCTATAATATAGAAGAGTTTCTTTTTTTATATAGTGAGTTTCCTAAAGTAACTAATTTCATACAATTCTTCTACTGCTTCTATTTAAAAATACTTCACACTTTTCAATGGAATATACAGCATTGTTTAACATTCTTACAATATACTTAAGTGATTAACCTTTTGTAAATGGAACTAGATTTATATTAGTTATCTTCAAAATTATAAATATTTATAACTAAATCTTTTAATCTAATTTATTCTTCGCTGTATTGTTAATGGAATATTAAGTAAAACTACATATTACCTTTCCTATATCCACTTAAATTTGGTATTATAAAGTGGATATATTGGATAGCTATGATACAACACTACCTTTTAATGTAAGTCCATAATATAAAAAATTCATCAATTTTAGTAAATTTTACCATAACACTTCATTACTGATGAGTTTATTTCTTTTCGGTACACTCAGCTTTTTATCAATTCCTCATTAATATTTCCGAATTCAACTTTTATTAAAGATTATTACTTCTGAAACCTCAGTTATATATACAACACTATAATAGTTATAGACTTTGCGATAACCAGCTTTATTTAACAATTTACAGTATACTGCTCCTGAATCTAATTAGTATGTTGGTTTACAACCAATTAATAGTAATATTTTCCCTTAATACTATTATATAGATGCTGTATGTCACATAAACGAAAATGCAGGTATGAGTTGCAGTAGTATCCATGAAATATAAATATAATTTGGCAACTTTTAGTTTGAATACTAGCATGAAATTTAATCGATATCTAATTTATTTTCAAATATATTGATAACTTGAAGTATCAAAGGTGAGGTAAGTGATCAAATTTTGTACTTAGATTCATTCCATTTTAATATTTGAATTAATGTAAAAATTCGATTAATAATTACTAGGATATAAAAACAAAATAAGTTTTTTTATAAATAGGACTGAGGCTTAGCTATGCTGCAAGCATCAACAGATTTTCATGGCTTGTTGTCGGTGACTTCTGAGTCTAGGAAATCAAAAAAGAGCTCCGAAAGACCTTTTAGTGAAGATTTCTCGGTATTTCTAAGTGAAGGATTCTTGGTGGAGTCTAAATTTCCATTTGGGAGAATATTTAAGCGTTCTCTATCTTTCTTGCTAATTCCAATAATATCACACAATATACAAAATATATCGTCTCTATATTTTATCTTTACTCCCTTTTCATTATGCTTTTCAATAAGTTGTATGACAAGACGCTTGTCAACAAAGTTAAATTTCAAATCTTGTTTTAGATCATGCATTTGTATCAGTGTTCTTTCCATATTTTCCAATAAATTTTGATTGTTTACATGTAAGTCCTGTATTTGTTTTTCAAGTGACTGTTTTTCATTAGATAATTTGCTAACAACTCTCTTCATATCTCTAACTTCAGATTCACATGTATTTAGAAGCTGTATTTGATCTTTTAAACGGCGTGCCTCTTCTCTGACATTTTCTAATTCCATTTGATGTCTAGCATTAGTTTCTTCTTCTTCAGTTTGAAAACATTCAACAATACTTGTCAAGCTATTAGCATAGTTTCTAAGTGTTGTGATCTCTACTTTAGTCTGTTCAAGTGCAGTAGTCATATCTTTAACTGTCTGCCTTAGTTCAGTTGCTTCACTGTCAATCCCATTCAATCTCTCCAATTCAGTAATGTAATCTTGATTTATAGTTAAGAGCCTCATATTTTCTGTTTTCAAGTCTTCATTTTCTTTGACTATACTTGCGAAAAAGTCAGATAACTCAACTTTTGTTTCTTCTTTAGAAAACTCATTCATTTCAGATTTAGATGTATCAAGATTTTTCAAATAGTTTACAAGATATATTAGGCATTCCCCCAGTAACACAGTCATTTCTAGAGAAAATGGAGCATCTTTCTTAAGTATAACATCTTGCAAATATAGCTGAAGATGATCAGGTAATTTATCTAATATTAATTCCTTCTCCCCAATTAATTGATTTTTTATTCCCAACCAGTCTCCATAGTGCCCTAGGAGAGTATTAGACAGATCTTGAAGGTCATTGACCTCTACCTGGAGAATCTGATTAAGCTGCCGTATGAAAGTAGGATTATATGCTACAAAAGTATCAGATTTAATATTAAGTTTGGTAGATTCAGATGTGGACAATTTGTCGTCTGCAACTGATTTATCACATTGGTATATCTCAGGACTTAAATCTTCCTCCTGGTACTTGTTGATGGTGAAAAGCTGGGTATCCTCTTCTATTTGTCTACTATGCTTATCTGAAACCAAGTCAATTCTATCCGCGCATTCTGAATTGTGTTTTATAGTTGTAAAAGTAGTTTCAAGTCTAGACTCCATTGTTACCTCACTTGGTAAACAGCTCTCGTGCTCCAATATTACACTATCATCTAGCAAAGTTGTGGAGTAATCATTGTTTACTGCTAACCTGGTATCTTTAAGGTTATTTGTAGTATGCTTAAATGCCATATTTTCTCTCAACTTAGACAAGTCTTCATCGTTCACATTAGTTTCATCTTCTAAAAGAACTTCGTTTAGTTCCTGTACTGCTTCTTTCAGTGCACCCCATGCAGCACGCATATTGTGCCCTAGTAGTATAATTAACTACAAGTTCCTAATATAGTTCTTAATATTATGATTCACGGGGTTCCCACCTAGCCTTTGTTGAATAGCAAAGTCAACCGCAGCTCTGTTGAATACGAAGCGTCCTAAAAAGCTCCTCTACATGCCCGCCTAGTTTTCAACACTCTAAAATACGAATTGTTGGAACACCCCATCTAATCAAGATATATGAATATTTTTTTTAGTAAAAGCTATAATAAAAGATATATATGTAGATTAGAACTTGGAAATCCACCAGCAGTGAATAAATAAATAACAATAGGGAAAATCTTGCATTACAATATTGACTCCAAATTAACTCATGAAACTAAAAAGTGCGTGCACCGGGAGTCGAACCCGGGCCATCAGTTCGGAAAACTGAGATGCTAGCCGTTACACCATACACGCCTTTAGATTTAGGGCTTTAGTAATTAACTGCATTTATATATAGAATTTGTTAAATAGCCAAGTCTACTCCTCTTGCATGCTCCCACTACCCAGAATATCAAACAAAAATCTATTTAAATTACAATATTTTATGTGAAGATATTTGCTCTATAACTAAAAAGATCTCTAATATTAGGGATATTATAATGAATCATTGTTGGGCGTTCAAGTGATAATCCCCATGCAATAACTACTATGCCTTCAGGTAGTCCAAGGGATCTCAATACTTCTGGTCTAAACATTCCAGAGTTACCTATTTCAATCCACTTCTTCAAAATCTCATGATATCCAAATACTTCCATTGAAGGTTCAGTGTATGGATTAAAGGTAGGTTTAAATTTCAATTTAGATATTCCGATTTTCTCATAAAATGTAGAAAAGGTACCAAGTAAATCACCTAAGCATAAATTTCTATCTATAATTAACCCTTCAACCTGGTGAAATTCAGCTAGATGAGTAGAATCTATAGACTCATTCCTGAATACACGATCTATTGAAAATAATGCCTTTCTTTTAAAATTTGTAAGTGACCAATCACCCTGATCATTACTATATAATTTGGCTAAGTAATAAATCATCCTCGCAGATATAGCAGTTGTATGAGTTCTCAAAATATTCTTGCTGGCCTCTTCGATATCCCAATTATAACCTAAACCAACAGATCCATATCCTCCAATTTGATGAATATCTCTAACCCTATTAATATGCACTTCATCAAGCTCTAAATTCATTCTAAATGTACTGGGTTTATTTAAAAAGAATGTGTCATTAGAATCCCTTGCGGGGTGCTGCTGTGGCTGAAAAAGAGCATCAAAATTCCAAAAAGAGCTCTCAACCCATCTATTAGTTGGCATTTCTTCAAACCCCATGTGCAAAAGAATACGTTTAAATTTGAGTAAGGACCTTGTCAACGGATGTATGTGACTACGAATTAGACGTTTACCCTTTGCAAAAAAATTATATGGCTTGAAGTCACTACCCTCCCAAGATTTGTCAAGAATTATATCTTGAGTAATATCAGTAATTTCAGACTTAATTATTGTAGAGAAATTCGTCCCTTTTTCTATTAAAAAAAATGTCTTCTTATGTATATTTATTAATTTACGTTTTTTAAGTTCTAAAAGAATATCCTCACTTTTTTTAAAATAATTCTCATTCTTACCATATAAGCTAACTTCCTTCAAGTGCTCCCTTATTTTATCTGTCCTCAAAAGGTCAATGTCTTTGTTAACAATCTTCACAAGGTTATTTACTTTATCCAAAGTTACAAATCCTTGATGTAAACATTTAGATAATCCAATCTTCAAAATTTTGGAAGGTATATGTGATGGTAGTTCGCCAACATTTGCTGAAAAATTGTCTCTTGATAAAAGAAATTGGATAAGCTGATACTCCGGAGTTCCATTTCTTAAGTATTCAAGACCTTCCTCAGTTAAATGAACAGTCATTGTTGAATATATCTTTGACTTCACCATTTCACGTGATTCTAAACTCTTAATTATACCAATAATTCTCTCATGATCACAATTAAACTCCTGGGAAAGTGTCAAAGTATTCAGTGTACAGCCTGAACTATCTAGTTTAGTTAAAATTGCAAGAGGATTTAACTCCGTCATCTTACTCTAAAGTTCAAGAAATTCTTTAGTAACATTAATGTCGCGCATTTTCTAATTGTCTCAGAGAAGGAAAATGAGGGTAACTACTTTATAATTTGTGACAACTTTTTTCATTATACTTTAATAAAAACTAAGTCAACATTACATTTCAGTAGTCTTCGGAAAATTCCTACTCTATACAGGTAAATGATCTAAGATCTTACTTTGTAGAACATATAGAATACTCACTATAATTAGTTCGAGCTCATTTCAGTTTAGTTTGACATACTTTAGTGGAGACTTCAATCTTTAGTCTGTATATCCCAGTAAGTATATAATTACAAACTTAGTTCTTTAGATGAGTATATCTCAAATCCTAACTTCGTGCTAAGATAAAAAGTACTAACCGCTTATTTAGTACTCTAAGTGCAAGGAATTGCTTGTTTTGCAAGTAGCCAAATCCTACTTTCCATTTGTTTAACCGAAATTATCAGGCACTTCTTTCAAAGCTTGTACTTATTTAATGACTAGTCAATCAGAAAGACTTCTGCAATTAGATGAAGAGTGGCAAGACCCACTGCTTGATATAAGTCTACCGTACAAGTCAACTTCAACAAAAGTAGCAGGATACTATACACTTGATGATGATCTTAAAAACCTTATCTCTCTTTTTTCAGTTTCAGAAAATTCCGAAACTTATATAAGAATTGGTGAATCATCACTGGAATCGAATCTACGAATCTTAAAAACAGCTCTACTCATACAACCAGATATTATCTACCTTGGTAAAAGTACAAATGGAATAAAACAAACAACTAAAATTCTCCAAGGTTCCAGTACACCTGTTTCTGATTTGGAATTCAGCCGAGCTGAATCAGATGTAGGTGAATTATTTACTTATCCTAATACAACCACCTACCACCATGAGACACCAGCATTATCTACAATAAAGGATGGCAATTTTCAAGAAATAGGTACTAATCATGTCTCTAGTCATGATAATGGGGGATCTCTTTGTGGATCATATTCTATGATCTGTACATCAAAGTCAATGTTACCAAATTCTAGCTATAACTATACAGGGGCTGGTCTAGCATTCAACAATATTAACTCTCAACAAATAGACTTGAACAATGCTGCATTACTAATGGAATTTTTTAGGGAACTGGAAGCTGCAAAGCTATTTGATAATTTAGGGATGTTTTCTGGTTTGCTCACAGCCCACTCAATTCATCTGAAAATTATCCAAGAAATTGTAGAAGATATGCTTAGCCTAGAAGAACTGAGATTAAGATTATGTTCTCAGCTAGCATCTTTACTAAATCCTATTATTTTGTCTAGATTGCAATCATATAGTGAATCACTGAACTGTACGGCATTTACAATGCCTGAAATACTGAAAACAAGTAACTGTAAAAATGAACGTAATGATAATGAAGATATACCTACATTCCCAAATCCAAAGATTTATAAATGGCCCTCCACTTCTCTCAACTATGAGGAATATAGAATGTTAATGAAACAGCTTCCATTTTTGTGCTTTTCAGAAGTTTACGACTTAAGTACATGTATAAATGTCTTTAGTCAGATAAATGACTTGAAGTTATTGGAATATCCCTCTATGACTTGCAAAGAGACATGTTCTACCAGAGTTATACATCTGAACTCTTTATACAAAAGTACAGCTATCGATCAACCAATGTTTGCAGTTGATTACTTTGGAAATGATAGTTTTAATTTTTCGCATAGTTCAGTATGTCCAGATATAGCACAAGACTCCAAGGATATTGAACGAGATGTTTTATATATTAATGGAAGGTTATACAATGGGGCAACTAGTGGTTATGGAAAGATTTTGGAAGATGTTTCTAACTTAATAGACTTGTATTGGACCAATATACAGTGCAGCTCAGCAATAAATGAAGGTACAGATATATTTAATGACAAATTAATGAAGAAAGATATAGAAAATTGCAATGGAATGGATTTACCTAATAAACAAAATATTAGCTCAAATAATATTGATATTGGAATAGGAATAGATGATACAGATCAACCTACACTTAAATGTGAATCAATTGTCATTGCAATAATTCTTCTACATATTATAAGCCGTACTTATTCGGGAGGGAGCTGTTTTGACAAAGTATCTTCTATATATAACAATACTGACTGTATTATGATATCTCCAGATAGTAAGAGAGCAAGACCATTAGAAATAGTTATTCTACCAAATATTGCATTACTATTTTCATCACTACGATTTAGGCTATATGAACAAATGGAGCAGAATATGGCTATTGGAGTATTACCTAGTTATTTGGTTGATACACATGTAGTATCTAGACTGATCCCATCAAATAGCTTAATTAAAAACTTACCTACATATGCCTTCCATATACTTTCACGAACTCCTGTGAGTAAGATACCTCCATCTATTTTAGAATATCTAATCATATGTGGAAACAAATTTATTAGTAAGGCTACCTTATATAAAGAGTTTGCTACCTCAAGGATATGCAATTATTGTATTCAAGAGCAATGTATAAACAATCCAGTAAGTAATGAGGAGCAGTCAATACAAATAAATAGGGATGTTAATCGAGGAAGTAGTGAAATTAATAAATCAGCTGAACAGTTACATACTGATAGAATAATTGAGGTTACAACAGATGACATTGCTATAATGACACCTGGAGAAGCTGTTTTATTTCAAATGCTAACAAAATCTCAGGATAAAGAAGATGATCTGGATACCACAAAGTTCACAGATAGATCAAATTTAGTAGACTCTTCTTTAGTAAATACTCTGGACTCTAAAACAAAACGAGCAATCAACACAAAATATTCAAAATATGGCATAAGTAACCCTGAGGATGGAAATATGGTTTTATATACAACTGACAATGTCTCCGCAGATCTACATGACTCTGAAAATGAATGTAGTGAGGAGCACAAATTCAACTTGCTTGATGCTCCCAAAAAAGAATTACGTAGTGGGAACTGTACTTTAGATTGCACTGCAAATAATTACAATATTATTAGTCCAGAGTTTCTAGCTGAAGAAGATATCTCTAACTCTCAAATAGCAAGGTTATACTTTGGTAAAAGTATTGAACCATTAGAGCCTTTTTCACTACAACTAAATGTGTATGTAGTTTCATCAGAAAACTCCTCTCAGCTTGCAAATGACCTAAGAAATCTACCTAAGGATTCTATTGGGGCAATTGACCAAGAAATTCAGCAACAAGCCCTAATTTTGCAGTCTCATAGAGCAGTTTCTCAATTCGGAATATTTAGTAGTATTGTTAATACATAGTATATAACAAAAGTACACACTAGATATAGTAGCTACATATTAGTTTGCAATTTTTAGTACTTACATAAAAGTTAAACCTATTATAGGGAATTTCACTATCTGAGCAAATCACATGTAATCTACATTTCCTCTCAATGAGTTCCCCCAGAATTGTGCACTAAATTCACTTCAAGAGGAACTTTAATTGTGTAATAGCTACAAAAACTTAAAACCCACACCACTTACACTTTCGAAAGAATTAAGGTTCAAGCAAACAGACTATTCCTTAACTTATTTATTGTCGAAGTAAAAAATGAATGACATGGACATTATTTACTTAACTCCAAAGAATAAGACGAAAGTAGTACCCACTTCAATTGGTTGAACAATTGAAAGAATATATTCCCTAAACCCCAAAAATATTGAAACACTTGCAAAATGCACGAAATGTGCAAAAGAGGAAAGTTCCTAATCTGACTAATTCAATCTACATTATCCCCTCTAAATAATGCAATAAAGAAGATAATGAGCAAAAATAAATTAATATTAAATAATCACTTCCAAATCCCAGATACTTAATATAGAAACCCATCTAGCTATCTAACAAGATCAAAGTGGTATTTATTGGGAAATATCCACTTGTAAGAAAAATGGCTTGGTTTAGTTTAGTATTATCTTAATAATATATCTTATATACTATCAGTTGGAGTAGTTGTTAATTGATATTGAAAGTTTCTTAAATGTGTCTTCATTAGGTTGCAAACCATGCTCTATACAGAAATTATACAACCTTTGCAATACCTTCGCAGTATGTGCCACTGTTTGGAACTGTCTCTCAACACCACGAGTTGATAATAAGCCCAATACACTCATCCTCATGTGTTTACCCATTGCTCGTCCAATTCTATGTCTATTTAGGGCAAAAATAACGGGGATATTAAATTCTTGGGCTTGCATAAGTATATGTATAACATGATGTCTTAATCCTCCTTCAATATCACCACCTTCAATATCGGGTGCAACAATTAGTGCCTGTAATTTCTTATGTCGTAGACACCTCATAGCTTCTCTTACTCCAACAGTGAAGACTCTGCCTGGAAAGGCACTATTTGTGTTATTGCCATGATTAACACTAGCAGATTCACCACCAAATGAAAGTCCTCTAGCAGAATGTTGTCTGGATGTGTTTTCTGCTATGGTATCACCTCCTATTATTTTATTATTTATACTAGAAGCACCTCCAGGAATCGTTCCACCTTTACTACTAACGCCACTAGACATCCACCTAACTCTATCATCAATAGCCCTCAATGTATTTAACAATGTAGAAACAGCACGATCTAAAGAGGCAGTTAAGATTTGCGTCACATAATTTTGTGGATTTGCCACAGTACGATGACCTACCTTGTGTGCTAAAGCCAATCTGATATTTTTGTGAGCAAAAGCCCCATTTTCAGGTTCTGACCAATAGGCGCATTCAGAAGGATCAAAAGACCTAGAAATAGCTTCAATCGCAATATCATCCATTGCGACCATTCGAATAGCTTTATTCCCTCTATTTTGGTTTCGAATCTCACTAATTTCAACAGTGTCTAAGTAGTGATACATTACTCTAAGCCAGTGCAGCCTACCTGAATTATTTCGCAAAAAGGAAGAATATCTTGCACATGTTATGATCTCTGTCTCGTATGCACCAGTCTCATTATTCTCAGTATTAAAAGCACTAGATCCCGAGTTGCTCTTCTGAAATCTATTGTTGAAACTATTGCGCCCACCCGTTTTACTCATAGCTTTAGCCCACAATGCAGCAATTGTAGAGGGAGTAGTTGATTGGGACAAAATTAAATTGCTATCATCTCCAGATGGTAAGACTTTAGGTAAATTCAGACCATTATTAATTGACACTGCAGTAGGGGATACTATACTCCTGTTGCCATTCAGCCCCCCTACTTTATTCGCTGATACCGAATTGTCATTTGGTAAGACCCCATCTTTTCGCAAATTCTGTGATTGATTGGAATTACTACGTTTCTTAGCTATTTTAGGTGAAACACTGCTATTGAGTTCTATTTTATTGTATATCTCTGGTAAAGGAAGAGGTATTGTAGAAGAGTTTTGTTTCGAATTTAATGAATAATTAGTGCTACACTGATATCCAATTTTCATAGAATTAGGATTTTTTTTGTGAGTATTGCTTACAGATAGAGAATTTGAATAATATGCAGATTGTTGCTGTCTGAACTGTTGCAAGCTACTCACTGGTAAGTTCTTACATGTTGCAGCATTTGAGTATAAGGATGTATTATTAAATTGAGATCTCCACATTCCTACTGAAGGTACTGGAGGTGGTGGAGGTGGAAACCTAGAATTGCTGGACCCCCTAGAAGATACCTTTATTGGTAGTAATATTTTAGAATTTTGAATACTTATAGATGTCTGCTCACTTCCTTTGCACGTAAAAGCTAAATTGCGCTTATTTTTGTTAAAACTGTCATTAGCCTCTATATCAACACTTCTCCAGTGAGGAGCATAATGTTGGAAATTAACATTATTCCCCTTATTTATTGTTGAAGGTTGTTGGTAGTGATTAATATAATCGCTGAGATATTCACCTGTAGGTAGTGCACTTTTAAGTGGAAAGTGACCCATAAGTGGATAAATACTTTTATTATTATCTAAAGTTGCAATATTATCCACACTAAAATTGCCAACTCCACTTTTTTTAGTAAAGTTGTTCATTTCACCCTGTTGTATTATTGTTTTATTGTTGATGTTTGAACCAAAGCCATCTCTTTGTATATTCAAAATTGCATCCGAAGTACTACTGCTCTGGGGACTATCAGCAAACACAGACCTACTATTGAACTGGTTAATTTTTATATATTCATCATTAGTAAAGTAATTGAATTGTGAATACAAATCTCTATTAAATCCACTCATTTGTAATTGTCGTGTTATAGGGGTATTACTCCCCAAAGGAGTCATATCACTAATAAATCCTTGAGCGTTTAGATCTCTTTCTGCTTCAGACATATAGAACCTATTTCTATTAAAAACTGAGTAGTCATTTAAAGGTGAAGTAGCCATATCACCTATATTTCTAGATTTCAAATTATCCTCAGTGAAAGCTGTGCTTGACAGTTTATCACCGGAATATTTGGTTCCCTTTGTGTTAGTCTTGTCATAGTCACAACCATGTACAATATTGTAATTCCGTTGCCTAAAGTATTGATTTCCACTCATATATGCCTCATTCCTAATACGTATCTCTCTAGAACTATCTTCATATTCCCTTTGAGTTAATCTTCCAATTCCCCTAATCTCATAAGATTGTTCTATTTGGTGATTACCGTTACTCCAGTAGAATGCTGAATCCTTATTCTTAGTATCTTCATTGCTGGAATTGTCATTATTTTCCATCCAATTATGTACTCCATAGTCAAATTTATCTTTGTATACCCTAGGTTCCAGAGATATATTCCTATCAGCTGGGTAACTACTGAAAAGCGAACCTGAGGTATAATTTGAGTAATCCCATGAGCACAAGCTCCTATCACCTAAGTTATCAACACTATAGTTCATTGATTTAGGTCGTGGATCCTGATCTTCGTGTATTTCAAATGCAGATTTCGAACTAAATTGTTCAAGTACTAGAGGAATATCAGATTGTCTATCCCACAATAGTGAACCACTTCCTGAAGAATGAAAAATGTTATCTCCATTAGAAATATCTTGAGCTATACTAGATTTGACATGTCCTACGCCAAGTCCATTATGGCTATTGTTCTTTCCCATACCAAAGCTGTTAAACTCTTCTGGTATATAGTCGCGATTTCTTGTATCAGTAATTGAAGACAATGAATTTGATACAGAACAATGAGCATTATCAGATCTATATAAGTCATTAGAATTTAACTCAAAAGAGGCGAAATCATTATTAATAAGGCCACAGTCTTGGTTATTTCTAAATGAACTCATTGTTCTTTGTAATCTCCTGTTACTTGACAAACTCCCCGACTTTCTATCACTCATATAACAGACAAGTACAGAAACTTCTCAATCTCAGGGTATTATGTTGGTTACTCCTTGAAGAATAGTCTTTATTTTTCTGATTCCGTTTAAGTGCTCACAAACAACGAATTAATTGTCGTTGTTACTCCAAATTTCTTATTCTAAAATGTTCTTCATTTACAGCCATCAAAGTTTCTCTTTCAGTCATAACAACAGTACTTCCAAATTTCAATATTTCGATGTAAACATTTCTACTTAGTAGTAAATAATTCTCTTGTTTAAATGGACTAGTACAATGTATATAAGTGACTCTCTCAGCGTTTTGTCTAGACTTCAGTACGCTAGATCCCACATTCCTAGACCTATAGCTTACACGACGTTAATCACCAATGTGTACACATTAAATTCCTTAAACACCTATTTCCTGTATAGGGAGATATGTATCTGTCCCCTAGATATTACACATCTATACATTGTGTACTTAGAGTCCAAATAAAGCGCCTAATGAGCGTAGATAGAACCTGGACTGCAACAACTTTATAATATATATTCCCGCTTAAAATTTTAATAGAAGAGACAGGTCAGCGTACTTTTTACAGAGTGTGTGGACAGTATAGCGCCAACCAGCTTAGCCTCAATATGAATCATTGAGTGCATGAATTAGGCATTCTTGTAATATTAGAGGTTAAATAATAAGGATGTCAAAGGCAAGTATGTTTATACTCTATTTACTCAAGTCATAATATATGATAAGGGTTGATCTATTAATTTATTGTGGGGCTTTATGAGATTTAATAGTTTTCTCAACATTCTGATGATTATAAATTAACCACAATAAAGTATTTAATATTGTCATATTACGAAGGATACATTTAGAGAAATTTATATATTACAATAGGAATAAGGGGCTTGATAATAGCTACAATGGCAAGATAACTATCGTTTTAGCTAAACAAGCATATCGACTGAGTAATTTCTAAAAACTATGTATTTGGTATACAAGAACTCTCTGGAAAGAAATATTTATATATCTTTTTGAAGCCTGAGGAATAGCTTATTTATTTACAAATTTATTAATTAGTAGAATTTTAGATCTATTATAAATATTACGAAGAAGGGAAGGGAAAGTGAGAAAGAAAACCCAATCCACTAGTTGGATAAACACTAATCTTTAATTTCCAAAGTTATTGAATTTATATGGGTAATGAGAGAATAACTCAAAAATAGCTCAAAAGGCTATAGCTCAATAGACTATAATAGGTAAAATAGGGTATTTGCAAAGTGAGGCGTGAAATGTCTTTGTAAAGTAAGCTAATTAGTGCACTAAATATTTCTATTAATTTCCAGTTTCAAAATAATAGACTCACTATTAGTTATAAATATGTAGAGCAGAGAAATATATTATCAAGCATCTCTTAATTTAATATTTTGTCCCTAAATACATTTAGAATTGAATTACATGTTAAAAAAAGGAGATATTTAGAGGATTTTCATCTAAAAAAAACCATTAAGCTAAAGTGTATAACACTACTAATTAATTTCCAGTACCCTTTTGTACAAACAACTAGTCTAATCAAGTATTGGGTATTGCCCCAAATATAATATCAACTCAACAATCTAATCTAAAAATGACCCCTTAATAACTTAATTATATTCCTATTTCAAATATTCACTAGGGTTATGCCAAATTTATTTATATTAATATATATGAGAAAGTTACCAATAGTTTCATGATAGACATATCACTTTTGATTCTATTTAAAATTTTTACAGTAGCTTTAAATTTCAGTGAAACATAAAGATCTTGAGGATGAGATAACTGAAGTAATGCTGGAGACCTTACTTAGGTCTAATATTTTACATTGTCAAAGGAATGAATATTGGAATATACACAAGCTAGCTTTTAATAGTTGTAGTTCAAGTTATAAACTTATTTTTAACTTAGATTTAAGTCAGTTAATTATGTTTATACTTTAATGTTGTTTTAATACTAGCTTTGGTATTACACTAATTTAACGAACCAGTTTAATTATCACACAGCTCCTTTTAGTTAACAACACAAAATTTTTTAAATTGACTAATCCAATTATAGACAGTTATCAAGAATCATACTTCTGCAATATTGTGGTACTGGTTAGCTTGCAGCTCAAACATTTGAATAATTATATTTCCAAACACCGACTATATTGTAACTCATTAAGATTATCAATAACTTATTTTCCAATTATATATAAAATATTATTTTTTTAGTAGAGAATAATAAATATTTAATATAGAGTAGTATATGGACTCCAATCCTGAGATTAAAACTATTACCTTGATCTAGTAAAATCAGAAGTAAATTTATAATCTATTAAGTTCTCATTCAAAGTATAAACAAGAGTTGAATGTTAATATATATTCATTATTACTAAATAAGGGAAGAAAACAATCTAAGACTTGATTAATTAATGTACTTTTTGGTTGCTGTGAAGTTATTTTGATTCTCGAGCTTAAGACACAAGGAGTCTATTCTTAAAAGATTGTCACATCTATACATAGCTCAGACTTCATAGTAAAACTCTAAATTAATGTTAATAAACTTAATTAAACACCAATCTTTATATATTTTCTTCATTAGGATGTATAGTAGTTCTTTTCTATCTACTGTTCAAGGTTTCTAAGATTATTTTTAACAATTGATATTGGTAGTTTTAACTGCAGAGATAAATTATCACTATTTATACTAGTAGCTCTCCAGTAATAAGTTTCGTATCTGAGAAATATTCTACTAATATATTGCTTTATTGTCTAACGTATTGCTAAATCAAAACTATTAAGTAAACTCAATGGTTTTATCCAATTAAGTATATCAGCTAAACTTGCCAAAATACCCCACTTCTATCGGAAGTAAGAAATTGGTAACCTTGAAGAATTTACATAATATTGGTTGTATTATTAGGATATATTTATTGAAGTTATATCAAAGAAGTCATTTTATTATAGCACTTTTCAATCATTTGTGCAAATTTGAATTGTATAGCTAACTTTCATACTAAAAACAGTGCCAAATAATAATCATATCAAAGGCATAAAACAGGATTTTCATACGAAGAAGTGTTTTTCTATATATTTGGGACAGTAGTCTAACTATTCAAACAAATAAAGATAACATTGAAAAGTACTATATTGAGCTTGTAATATAAAAAAAAAAAAGAGAATAATCCCAGTTAATCTCTTATTTTCGTCTTCAATATACTACATCACAAAATTACATTAAATTTGATATTGTACAGTTAACCTTTTTCTATCAAGTAGAAAATTCCTCATTAAATTTATTTTGATTAATTCACTAACTCAGCCTCCACACTAATAGCACTTTAAAATACAAAATCTAGTATCCATATTTCCACATGTCAATAAAATATTCACTGTTAAATTTTCAGAGAACATGTGTATTTAAAATATTAAACAATAGTTAATTGAGTAGATATTGAAAGTTAAGAAATTATACCCCAAGAAATAACTTGTCTAATTTTGAATTTTAAGTTTTAATTACTTATTCTTGAAATAATAAAGATATCTACATGATACTAAGATTGAGAAATTACTGAATAATTATTCAAATAAATATAAGTTTAATAAAGTTGGGGTCTAATAAGGGATTTCAATATTTAAAATCAGGTAGTGATAGCCCTAAAAGTATTAAAAGTAAAATAAAAAAGGTAATTTAGTTAGAAGGCCATCTAAAAGCTTTGTTTTTAAAAACTCAAAATATTTAGCTTTAGGAACTCCAGTAAAGATAGTCATTATTACCGTTTTAATTGTTATAAATCCTTATTTTCATTGTGTAAAGCAGTAATTTACTACATCCCACGAACAGTCTCTACAAGATAATTGAGTATATTTTGAAGATGCCTTATAATCCGCTTGATAATTCTTTATAAAGTGATTATGCCCTCCTAAGGTATATTTTGGAATTGTAACACTGTCAACTTCTATTATCATGATATTTGAATTTTCTTTACACTCAATACCTATATTCTTTGAACTTCTTCGATGATGTAACATTCCAATGGGTTGCGAGGATGCATCTTTGCAATTATTCGTTAATTTATGGTGTGTAATATAATCACCTTTCAAGCCCAAGTTACAAGAGTATACAGTATTTCGTAAGTCATCGACATAGGATACAACATTTATAGATCTCCTCAAAGAGTTACCTACTTTTATATATTGTAGATTTTTAGTTTTGCTTATTTTCATGGGTATATCAGTGCTAGCAGAAGATAGATCGCAGAATTTTGCATTCATACCTCTTCCCATATAACTAGTACCTTTATTTAGAGTAGGCTCCATTTTTATAGATGTCTTTTTACACACTTTATAATTTGTATATGGAAGTACTGATACTACTCCAGATGCTGTTGTTGACAGAGCACTTGTAGTTGGCAGTAAAGTAGAAGTTCTATTTGATAAGTCCACTTTAGGACTTAAGTTATAGTTTAAATCTGAAAATGGTACATGGTCAGAGACTCCATTTTCTGATAAATCAGAATATGTCTGTTTGGCATTATCACAGACCCACATTTTAATTCTTTCTTGCTGCAATATAGCTGCATTATATTCATCGTTTGTATACTCATATTGATAATCGACGCACATCCATTCAGGACGCTCAGATAGTTTGTATTCTTTAGAAAAATTTTCAATATTCAAATCAGTATTATCTAACTTGTTGATATCATCAATTCTCATATTCAAGCACTCAACTCTTCTATTTAACTTATCTAAATGATCATTTACTTTTATCAAGTCACATGAGCCATTGACACTTGGACTATTTCTGGAAGTTGACATATTAGAGCAACATATACGATATAATGGAGTTGAGATGAATTTTGACTTAGAATTTATAATTGAACCATTTGCAGCCAAGTAATTTTCTTTGCCAAGTGATATTGTATTTGGAAAACCCAATTCATTTTTTGAATCGGAGTATTTACTTTTCACTTTGGATGCTAATTGTTTTATTATATCAATGGTTGGAATTTGTTGGCAAGCGCCTATAAGGACAGATGTTGAATCAGTATCTGCAACAGAAGCTGTATATTTTTCTAGTATATCTTCATCTCTATTTAAAATGCTGATGCCAGAGCTATTAGTATAAGTAAGTTTGGGGAGTATTTCCAGAGCTTCACATTTTGCTGCAGGTTGGAGAAGAAGTTGATCCACAATTTTGCCTGCTTTCTTTAATATATCACTTGAGCTTGGTGAAAGGACATCATTAGTCTGCATGAGAAGCCTTGCTTGAAGTATTTTGTAGCTTGATAACTGCAGTAATGAGCTTTTCATGTCACGGATAGACACAAAACGTCTTATTGTAGATCCACTAACGTTCGCGTCTTGAATTGGCGGTATATGGGTACCTGATGTTTATGTTCAAAAGTGATCTTTTAGGTTTAGATTTGCCACTATTAGAGTTACACTGATCAATTTATGCTATATAAAATGGATCATAGTTTCTGTAGACTTAAAGATCTAGATGAAATAGCATTTTGGATCCGACCAAGAGTGAATAAAACTGGGAAAACAGTGGTTGCTCTTCAATTCGCTCCAGATGATGTTAAGTTTGCCCCTACGATAGAATACCAAATTAAAAAGAGACTTATTGGACACTGTGGAGGGTTTGATCCTAGTCAATCTTTTAGTGGGGGGGTACAGCTAGAAATTGTTGTATTGAGTGACTTGTTGAGTCCACCATGCTGCATAGATATACTTGGTGTAAAGAAGTGTTCTGCTAATATTCTTGTACACTTTGGGCACTCATGCTTACAAGGTATAAATCAGTTTGATATACCTATAATGCTTGTTTTCCCAAATGAAACTAATAATTTATGCTGCGCTATGGTTCTTGAAAAGTTGGGAGATTTAATAAGAAGTCAACTAAATAAAGTAAATTGTGATGCAATGCATAATATAATCATTTCATATGACCTAGGTTTACATAATATTTTCTTCCCTGATGATACACAGGAACTATCTGAAGCTTTCGCTTTTTTGGAAGAGTTCCTAAAACTCCAGCTTTCTTCGACTAATATTTCTTTATATTTACTAGTTGCTCCTAAAACCCTCAATTATGGCACTAATATTTCACATGTGAATATTTTTGGAAGGAAGATAAGATCTACTTCTTTTTCAGAGGAGTCTATTGATAATATTTATGATCTACTCCAATCAGGTAATACAAAAGAACAAATGAATCATAAAATATATCTATTTCACTTGTATTTAAAAAGTGCACTTAACGGAAACGGTTTCTTAGAAAGATTTTCAGTTACTTATGGCAGTTGCTGTTCTATATATCCATGTACTATAAGTGATGATAACATTAATATTGATAAACTTAGAGAGGATGAACTAGGAAGGTTAATTTTGAAGCGTTTCAATATGATAGAAAGTGCTAAGTTAATGTCAAGTAGAGTTGGCTTAATTGTAACTCCAAATATGAGTTCAAATACTTGGAGAATGTTAAAGAAATATAAGTCAATACAAACAAGAAGGGATAAACACTATATAAATACAGATACTATCGAATATCTTGTCATTGCAATGTCTGGAATAAATGAAGTCAAACTTGGAAATTTTCCAAGAATTCAGGTATTTTGTTATATTGGATGTTTAGAATACTTCTTTTCTTGTATACTTAAAGAGCACGACATTCGTTACCCCATTATTTTGACATGCTTTGAATATGAAATATATTTAGGAATACGAGAATGGTCAACAGTATATTTGGATATAGATGAGATGATTTGTAATGGGTACTACACACAATTTCCTGATACCTTGTGTAAGTTCACTACTGAGATAGTGGATAAACCCAATGGTAGCTTGGCAAATAGCAATATTTTGGAGAAGATGGATCCGGCTACAAAGTTGTTATATAGTACTTTAGTCTCTAAACGTTTAGAAAATGGCTCATTTTATGGTTTAGACCCAAGCGATGGGATTGATGTAATCCCCAGAATATTGGTTGGTCATAGTGGAATTGCCTCCATGTATGCTCAAGAGTTGAATAGTTTGTGAAGATATGAGGAAGTGGATCTCATTAGTTGTACTATTCTACTTTATTTAAATTAGATACTTTATATGAGCTTGACTATATTTAGGCTTTAAATATAATATTGGATATATGCGCTCTACTAATTCTACTTTCAGCTATTAGTGAGGTGCTATGTAATAGTTACGTAACAAGTTGCAACATTGTAGCTATAAACCATTATAGAGCTTTTGAAATATCAATATTTGTAATATAGTTTTGAGGAAATTTAAACTTTATTCAATATATATAAAAGTTAGAGAGGGGGGTTTTGTAGACAAGTAAAACACCTTAAATGCAACTACCTATATTATTATCTCAGAAAATTCAACAAAATTTGAAATTTGTAGTTTGTAAATTTGGTTGTAAATAAGTGTCTAACCTTTAAAAAGGGAATGTATATTCTTTTTTATGCCTTTTTTGCTCTTCTGTGATGGAAGCTATAACTATTTAGTTATATCTTACCTAGTTTTTATTTAAATAAAAATACAGAAGTATGGGAGTAATAATATTGAGATTGTTAATATAGATATTTTGAGTTCCTCATACTAGCTTAAAAGAAAACATTTGGCAGCTCTCAAGGGAGATAGACCAAAGATTATACTCAAGAGTAAAATAGCTAAACATTAGATTATTTCGTATCGTATAACATATGCAAAATATAGTTTATATTTGCTCATATGATTGTCCTGAGAATACCTTCATTTCTGAATAACACATCTAATTATAGAACAGCTGCAACACTAATTAAAGTCTATCACCTACCCACATATTACGAAGCTTGAAATAAGCTGTTAAACTAATTTATTTTGGATTATATATAATAAAAACAATTTCTCAACACTTTTTATGAAAATAATTGTAAAGCTTAGTGAGTAGCTAAGTTAAAAGAATTAAGATCAGTGCAACATGACCCTTTAGATGACCTCTATTCTATAGCTTCGCACAAAAGTTTACTAGTTTAAAAGATTCCACTTGAATAGTATAGATTCTAGAATTAAAGTTCTAAAGTTCATATTAAGAAAATAACTGAATATATTACATAAGTACATACTGAAACATTGCAGAAAATTTGGAGAATATTCGATTAGTAATAACTCTTAGATAAATGTTTTTAGTAATTAATAGCACAAGTACATTTAAGATCACAATTTAGCTGCCAATTTTCGTGTTAAGGAAAGTTTTATCTTCAGTATACTGGTAGAACTCTGTATAATAAAGTTTTCAGCTAGAAGTTAAAGAGAGCTTATATATAGATACACTGTATTTTGGCTTGTTATCATGATTGAACAATATCACATCTAAAATAGTGACAATTCTTCATATAATAGACCTCATATATACGATAGAGAAATTTAAATAGAATTAAAGAGATTTATGAATTAAAGTATATAGTTTAGCTTTTATTGGATGAAAATATATATGGATATCTAAAATCTCAGTATAGTTTATTGTTAGAGAACTATTCAAAAAGAAAGTGAATATCTACCTTTATCCAAGTTGGAGTTTTATTAGTATTAGTTTTATGAAGTAGTACAGAATTTTTAGTAGTGTTATAATAAAGATATTTATTTGCAATTAATTTTTACTAGTAAACCAGTAAGTTTGCAGTTTAATCTTTATTTAAAAGTAAAGATTACAAGACATATATCGGTGACTTTAAATTTAATAAAACCCAACTCTTCAATTACTTGAAAAAGATGTATTTATAAATTAGTTCCTTACTAGTGGTCATTTCTAATTAAAATATTAAGATATCACCTGTAAGTAGTTGGGTGCAATTACACTTCATTATATATGTATCCAAGCTTCTTATATAATATTATTATCTTTACATTTGAAATAATTTTAATCATTTCAAAGTAGAATTTAAAAAGCGAATAAGCCTTGGAGTATAACTTGAGATTATTAGACTTTACTATTTCAGTTTAGCATTATCGGCTTTCTGAAGATTTCATAGTTAATAAATAAGATTCAAAATTTAAAAATTTTATTGATTATACCAATTTCCATATCTTCGCTTTGGAGTATAAGTAGTATTTAAGCTTGTAACAGTTATTCAAACTTAAAGTCTAAAAGTTTTCGAATATTACTAAGATTAGCTAATTTATGTAAAGTTTCTATTCTTAGTTCCTTTGTAATTACTTTTGGTGTTAATATTAGAGTTTGAGATGCAAGTAGATCCTCTGAGTAAGAGACAAGTACTTTGCTAGAAAATTTAATTATTCTTAAAACTTTTTTTTTAAATCTCAATAGTATCAATACATCTAAAGTATCATATGATTGTGGCAATTTCAGTGTGATTCCAATCCTTGTAAAACATCAGAGCTATTTAGTAAATATTCAATAATATAGTATTATGAAGCTCAGACTTTCTAGTATTTGAGGGCTTTGTGCATAAGGTTTTTGATAAGATTGTATTTACTTTTTAGAAAAGCTCAAAATACTTTAATTTCATAAGCCTATGCAAATTACTTTTAAATATCTACCTATAATTTCAATAAGTAAATTAATTAGCTGCAAAGCTAACTCAACTACTAAGGCAGCTTTGCAATAGTCCCTTTTCAAAATATTAGTTGTTTCCTCTAGTATAGCACCGGCCTTCCTAAAATACTTCTCTAGTAAAAAAGCAATAAAACTTGAAGCAAATACCTTGTTTTGGTCTTTTGTATGTTTCATCTTTGCGACTTCTATATACTTTGCAATATGTCAGAATTGTACTCAATAAATAAATAGCTTATTTAAGAACTAAATAGAATGCAAATAAAATCTCTAGTAGCAGCAGAATTTATTTAAATCATGTAATATTAAGAATATAAGCTGTTACTAGGTAGTATAGATACTTCGTGAGACAAATTTTAATACTGTAACAATATATCACAACATTAGTTTATTTGTAACTTGGTTTAACATATAGTGTTGTAATAATTTTAAATTCATTTGGTAATTCTGTTGGTATTGACTTTATAGTACCAATATCATTATCATCATTATCATCATTATCATTAGTTCTGGAAGTTTCATCGGAATCACTTGATATATTTTGAATATTTTTTATATTAGATTTAGTTGCAACTGCAAGACGAATATCAGGACGTAAATGGACAGTTAAAACTTCTTCACTAGCTATCTGATAAATAGATGTACCATTCGAATCAACAGATGCAATTATATTACCACAAACTACTAAAGTATATCCATCTTCAAGACTTACAATAGAAAGAATAATTTTATCTGAGTTTATTAAACATTTACATTCGTCTGGAATTTTACCAATAGATGTTACTTGTTCTATTAAATTAGAAATTTCAACTTTATTATCTTTTATACTAATATAAATTTGAGGTTCACCACTCATTCCACCAAAAGAAATTTCATGGTTACATTGAACACTTAAACTCATACTATTACCAAGAGAAAAAGGTGAACCAGATGACAATATAATTGATTTATCTTCTACAAATCCCAATGGATATAACTGATTAGCATTATTAGAAGTAATTTTACTATCTGGAACATAATCAAAGAATTCACCAAGACTCACAGGATAATTCCCATTAGTTTGATCTAAATATTTAGCACTATTAAATGATAATGTAAATGGAATACCACATATTAAACCAATTTCACCTGTATTTAAATCTTTTTGATATGTATAAATATTATTACCATTAACAGTAATAAATATTTGATATTCATCTCCAAATTCTAATTTATCTGTTATTAATTTAGCAGCACAATTTCTATAATCAGAAGCTGTACCATTATAGTCAGAACTATAAAATGAAATATAATTTCTAGCAATAATAACTGTATAAGCAACTTTATCATAATTTAAAAGAACTATTGCTTGTAAAAATCCAGGGAAATTCCTAAAGGCTTGCCCAAGTTGTTGATTAACATAATCTGGAATCATTGACTTAAATGTAAGGGTATATTTATCTGGATTAGGCATACATAAATATTGTATTTCAGATCCTGGAATTATTTCATTTGCTATTGAATACCAATTATAAAATGGGGAATTTTGACTACAACCACTAACACCTGCTGCTATTTCCGATCTAGCTATTTCACTTGCATATTCAAGAGCTTGCCAATATGGTTGATGACTAAATGATGATCTTACTAATCTAACATTCATTGGTGGCATATTAGATGTTGTAATATGATTAAATTTCCTACCACGAGTAGAAATTGTACTTTGAACTTGTCCATTTATGTAGATACTTATAGCAGCTGTGTAATTTAATTTTATATTAATTACTCGACTATTTTGATTATATAGGGTGAAACTTATTTTATCTCCTGCAAAATTACTCATATTAAAGCTTCTATTACCCTCATACAATATTGATGTATATGACATTGATAATGTAATTATAGATTCTTCAGCTGAATTCCTTAAATATACTGCAATATCATTATTAGACCAATTATGAAGATATATATCAAGATAAATATCTGATACTGTATCTATATTTGCAGGCATATATATAGTTGATGAAATACATGATCCAAACATTGTTAAAGTACAACTATCAGAACCTTCATTTTGTCCAATATACACACCAGTCCAAGGATACCAAAGTGAATCTGAATATACAATAGAATATGTATATGGATTCTGAACAAATAGAATAGGGATAATCTTTGAAATTGGTTTTATGTTATTAGATGTTTGAGATATACTCTGTGGCCAATCAGCAAAAGTACTTGTTAATGAATGTATAACATACTTCTTATTTGAACCATAAGGGAATTCAACCATTGGAATAATTTTAGAATTATAAAATCCAATCCATATGCAATATTTAGATCCTAAATTTAATATCATACCAAGTGGTAATGAACCACCAACACCTACACCAGCATTAACATCAATTAGTGCAATTTGATTATATGTAATAACTAATTGAAATATTTCAAGTCCACTATCTTGTATAAAACTAAATATTTGAATAGTATCAGAGTATAGGAATGAATT